ACTGATCAGACATGAGATATTTTGCAAACGAGGACAACATACCGAACACAATGCCGCAAAGGAACATAACACTGGATCTAAATTATCTCAACCTGAGGAAACTAAATAACAAATGCCACATCCTTTTCATATCACCGAATACTTCAATTAACTAGATGATCTTCTTTTTTTTCAACGAGCAAATGTATAATTATGCATTGTTTGGCGAATCGTAAACAAAACGCATACTCTTCACAGCCACGATGGCTAGGAACACATAGCGGCTTGTTTGTCTGCCCCTGAGACACTGAACGTACACCGATTTTCAGCTAAATCGAAAGACCCCGCCGTTTACCGTTAAAATGTTAGTTGGCCGTTAATTCGTTAACGGTGCAAAATACCACCCCAAAGAGGTACATTTTCGGAATAAGCGCATCGAGGAGGCCCTGTACACCGATTTTCAGCCAAATCGAAAGACCCCGTCGTTTCCCGTTAAAATGTTGATTGGCCGTTTACTCGTTAACGGTGCAAAATACCACCTCAAAGAGGCACATTTTCGGAATCAGCGCATCGAGGAGGTCCTGTATACCGATTTTCAGCTAAATCGAAAGACCCCGCCGTTTCCCATTAAAATGTTAATTGGTCGTTAACTCGTTAACGGTGCAAAATACCACCACAAAGAGGTACATTTTCGGAATCAGCGCATCGAGGAGGCCCTGTATACCGATTTTCAGCCAAATCGAAAGACGCCGCCGTTTCCCGTTAAAATGTTCATTGGTCGTTAACTCGTTAACGGTGCAAAATACTACCTCAAAGAAGTACATTTTCGGAATCAGCGCATCAAACAGGCCCTGTATACCAATTTTCAGCTAAATCGAAAGACCCCGCCGTTTCCGGTTAAAATGTTAATTAGCCGTTAACTCGTTAACGGTGCAAAATACTGCCCCAAAGAGGTACATTTTCGAAATCAGCGCATCAAGGAGGCCCTGTATACCGATTTTCAGCTAAATCGAAAGAACCCGCCGTTTCCCATTAAAATGTTAATGTTATTAAAATGTTAACTCGGTTACGGTGCAAAATACCACCCCAAAAAGGTACATTTTCGGAATCAGCGCATCGAGAAGGCCCTGTACACCGATTTTCAGCTAAATCGAAAGACCCCGCCGTTTCCCGTTAAAATGTTAATTTGTCATAACTCGTTAACGGTGCAAAATACCACCCCAAAGAGGCATATTTTCGGAATCAGCGCATCGAGGAGGCCCTGGTGACCGATTTTCAGCCAAATCGAAAGACCCCGAAATATGCTGCTGTGAGGCTGATATTCGTTGCTGCTGATTTGACAGACGTCGCCAAAACCTTGCATTTGTATCAAATGCGTCATGCTGGCTTACATGTGACTTAGTTTGCTATAATATAATAAATAAAACGAAAACAAAAACCACTCCTGGGCCAGACGGGCTGAAGAACGAGCTGTATAAAGAGTTAATCAAAAGCGACAAAGGCCTTAAAGTGCTAACAACATGTATGCAAAACGAACTGACATCTGACACGAAGCCGGATTCATGGAAAGGATCACATACAAAGATGATACCTAAAACAAGCAAACCAACAGCACGGCAACTACGACCAATAGCACTGACCAACGCATCATATAAGATATATATGAGCATGATCAAAAACGAAATCGAAGAACATCTACTGGTGAACGGAGCCTTAATGGAAACTCAAGCAGGCTTTACTGCTGGAGGACGTGTTGAGGACAATCTCTTTCTTCTAAGCTACTGCGTCGAACAAAGTTATAAAAGAAAGAGACCGCTATATGTGACCGCCATTGATTTTGAAAAAGCCTTTGATTCAGTCAAGAGAGGCCCAATGATCAAAGTCATGCAAAGATATAAGATCCATCCCGATATCATCTCATCGGTAGCAAGTATATATCACGGCGACTTCACAACGATTAGGCTCAGTAGTGCTACAGAAGAAAAACTCAAAGTAACCAGTGGTATAAGACAGGGCTGCACTGGTAGCACCACGCTGTTCAAGCTGATCACGTATGAAATTGCAAGGAGGCTGATGGCCACAAGAATGGGATACAATGATAGGAATATCTATCTCCCCTTACTTCTGTTTGCAGATGATGGTTTGATGCTGTCTCATTCAAAGAAGGAAACAGAGCTAATGCTTGAGGTACTTGTAGCATCAAGTGAAGAATACGGAATGAAAGTAAACAAAAGAAAAAGTGAGATATTGATCGTAAATGAAACTTGCGAAAACAGTGAGAACATTACAGAAATCGGAGGGATACCTGTTACAACAGAAGTCAAATACTTGGGAGTGACGATTCTCAACAAGAAGGATGTATTCAAGGAACAGAAGAACCTAATGATCAAGAAAGCCCATAAGCTGTCAAATATGACATATAGCATCATAAGTAAAAGTTGTAATAAGATTATGATTGGGAAAACCTATTGGAAAAGCATTGCCCTACCAGCAATCCTATATGGAGTCAATGTTATGACACTTACAGAAACAGAAATCAAGCAACTACAGACTATTGAAAACGGGGTCTACAGGAAGATTTTAGGAGCACCGAAATATGCACCAAATTGCACATTAAGAGGAGAAATCGGTTCATCACTAATGAAGACAAGAATAATGAAAGGTCACCTTCAATATATAAGAACGACACTGCAAGGACGAAATGAACTACTAAAGAAAGTAATGGAAATAGAGCTTGAAAGGAAAGAAAGCAAATGGGCGAAGACAACCGAGAAGTACCTGTCATCACTGCAAATAAGATTACATGCCCTAAAAGATAAAAGCAAAAAGGATATAGACAAAGAAATAAACAAATGGGATGCAAAACAATGGATGGAAGAAATAGGAAGCAAAGTAAGCCTACAGCTATACAAAGCAAGCAAACAACGTATAAGAGAAGAGACTATCTATGACAACACCCCAGCAGCGGTCACTCTCTTTCGAGCTAGAACGAATTCGCTACCCCTACAAGAAAGAAGACGACACACCGATGAAGACACATTATGCCAACTATGTGGAGAGGAGAATGAAGACATGGAGCACTTTCTATTGAAATGTAACAGACTCATGGATGTTAGAAGTAATATCGAGTCCCTACAACGACCTCACATAGAAGACACTCAAGAGATCATGAGAGACTTTCTCTTCAATGACGAACGGGAAGAGGATGCGGAAGAGAGGAAGGAGAAGCTGCACTGTCTATGGAGAATCCGTCAAAAGCGTCTGGAAGGACCATGAGCAAATGTCGAAAGACATGCAGCCTCCATCCTCATCCTTTTCCCAGTACCCCTATAACCAAATAGGGCACCTATGGGGGAGCCGATGCAAAGGCTATTCCCCCGAAGACTCATCTGCATCTGCATCATCGTTTGCATTCTGTTCGCGATCCTGTCAGTAAGATTATCAGCACTAATTATCGCACAGGATTGGTTTTTACTTTTTATGGTCGTCAACGTTGATTTCAAGTGTCGTCATTTTAGCCAAATATTCGTGCTGATTGGTGGTATTGTGCCAACTGACAAATTTGCGAACAGAGTGATATTTCACTTAAGAAATGTATTTGATATTATGATTGGTGATTGAATGCTACATAGGGTGTAGGCTTAGGTTGGGTTAATTTATTTCTGAAGCTTACTGTTTTGTGTCAAACTTTTCATCTATGCTTATCTCTTTGATAAGCACAGCTCACAGGTATGAAATATTTAGTGAGAAAACCCAAAAGTACAGTGGCGGATCAGGATTCAGGGGGGGGGGGGGGGCAAAATGGGCATTTGTCCCTCCCAAACGGCATAATTTTAATATTACGCCTATGGACGAGGCATGGAAAGAATCGATAAATTGTTATGGTTTGCCCCCCCCCCCCCCCAAACTCTGAGCTGGATTCGCCACTGCAAAAGTATGATGAATGTTATGAATTTTTTTTTTGCTTCACACTTTCATGTTACATGTTAAGATTTTTTGGAACACTTTCAATATGATTCACTTAGTATGCTTAAGAAGTGTGAAGTGATTGACTTTCATATCATGCTCTGCTCACTGTCTCAGCGGAATAATATGTTCATGTTCTTAACAGAGCACTTTCAATGTTTTTAGCATCTGGAATTCAAAAAGATGTCCTAATTTATTTATATCTTCACTTTCTTGATATATCTCAATTATCTGCTTCTGAAGGGATACATATTTTGTTCATTTTCATGTGTTTCAGGCTAATTCTTAATTTTCCAATGTTGGGGTTGTAGTTTTGCCATTGGGGTTGTACTTTTAAAAATTGGGGTTGTAGCTACAACCGCCACGGTATATAAAGTTCCGCATGTGTACCTAAGGTATGTCATAAAATAAAAAGAACTTACTATGCCGGGATTCCCCCGGCTTCCCCTATATTGAAATATATATTTTTTATTTTTTGGGGTCAAAATCCAAAAAATTCAAAAATCTGAGATAGCAGTTTTGTAGCCCTTTTAATTCTACACTTTTTATGTCTGAAACATTTTTCTGTATCTCTAAAGCTGTAGGTCTGACAGCTCTTCCCGCGAAGCCTTTTTTGTGTCAAAAAATGGCAGAAATGACATCACTCTGACGTCATTAGCGGCCTACCTATCATAGCCTTTGGAAAAATTTTTGGTCACCATGTAGGTACAATAGCTATTCACGGGAGGGGACTGAATTTTTGGTGACGATCGGCGCAGTGGTTCTGGAGATATATCGAAGAAACTAAAGGGGAGGCAAAAAATGTTCCCATCTTGGAAGGCTAACTCCCGTTGTAAATGTCTAATGTCTTTGCACCTTGCATATTCGCATGTCTTTCTTCTTTTGTTTACTCTTCTCCGTATCTTTTATATGGTTTTCCGCAATATATCATTTACCTGCGGCTTATTCCAGAAAAATGCCGCGCTGGCTACAAAATATGCGCAGTCTGTTCTTCGATTAGGGGAGTTGCGTTGAACGAACCTAACCTTCGTTTAGTTTCATGCAGGGCAAGTTTTATGTAAGGTCTTACATTGACATCAACATACACCATGTAACCAGAGGCGGATCCAGCTCAGAGTTTTTTTTGGGGGGGGGGGGGGCAAACCATAACAATTTATCGATTCTTTCGCCTCGTCCATAGGTGTAATGGTATATACTGCCTTGGCAGGCGCGCACACAGGATTTTTGAATGGGGGGGGGGGGGGCACGACCTTCGAACTGGGCCCCCCATGCCGAAGGGCCCCCCCCAAAAAAAAAAAATACGGCCCACGGGGCTATATTTCGGTTGGTTTGAAGCTTGAGCAATTGGTTTGTCAATGCATGGTAAAACAATTATTTCGGTACCAGCTTAATTTTCAAAACATATATATTTTTACGCTAGCATGTTTTTTCTCAAATGCGACTCAGAGCCGGTACATATACCTAATCATCTAATTTATTACGTAAAACATTTCATTAATAAACATTTTTGCAAGTCCCTCAGAAATCAGCCCCGGGCAGCGACTGACTGCCGGCCGGCCGACCGACCCCGGGTGACTAGAAGCAGGGGCCGGTCACTGTTTGGCCCGGATGTGTAGGAGCGGGAGCAGCACTCCTTTTTTCACGTATATTCGCATATTTTTTTTAGGCACATCGACATGAAATGTCATTGTATCTGATACGATGCGTGATCACAGACTAGAGATCCAGCTTATAACTTATATTTAAACCAATGAATCAAATCAACAGGACTATGTACGATGCATGGCGGACACGTACCCAGAATTTCGCCCAAGAGGGGGTCACCTGCTGGTCACCTGACCCCGGGACCGCGAGTCACCCGGGGGCCCGGGGTCAGCTCAGGCAAGGATGTATCCAGGACCTTTCGATGGGAGGAGGGAGGCACGGTGGGTCCAGTCTCACTGGCAGACGGGTCTCTTTAAAACGGGATCTTTGCATGAGAAAATGTGGGAAATTGGCAAGCAAAAGTATCATTTATGCCGAGGAGTGTGCCTAATGTACACTAATGCCTAATTTACATGGTATTTTACGAGCGAGCGAAGCGAGCGAGCTCCTCAGAGTCACCGGTGTGTGGCGCGCTCAGAGGTGCCAGTGAAAGGCCGTCAGATGCGCTGGTGTTGGGTCCCCACAGGCGCCGTTGCGGGGTCTTAGGGCTTAGAGACACTGGTGGGGCCATCATTGGCATGTGTGTGGCCCTGCAAAATGGCCTGCAAGTGGAAAGTGGCCCGTCATAGGCTGGCAAGGACACTCGGAGGCTGGTAAGAGGCCCTCAGAGTCACTGGTACGTGGCCCTCAGAGGCGTCGGTGTGGGGACTCTCAGAGCCGCCGATGGATGCGCTGGTGGGGGTCCCTTGAAGGTGGGGCGAGGGGCCTCGCAGTTGCCGTTGTGGGTGCCTTTAGAAACACTGGTGTGGACCGTGTGTCTATCACAGACGGATGTGGAGCCATAGCAGCCAATCCCTCGTTGGCCGTTTCTAGGGCCCTGAGCGGCCGGCGAGGTCTCTCAGAAACCGGCATTGGGCCTTTATGAAGATAATTGTGGCTACATAGGAGCCAATAACGTCCCCCCACAAGCCCTGTGGTGTCCTTCCGAGTTGAAGTGCGGCCAGCGCGAACCCTCTGCTACCAACTGGCGCCGCAGGGCCCCTCGGTTTCGAAGGAACCCTAAACCCGAGAACGGGCACGTACCCCCTCGCTCCCTTGCTATGTCACTGAATCCAAGTGATCAGGGACCCTTTAGGTAATCAGGGGCGTTTCAGATGACCAGGGGTTTTCAATTGATCAGGGGCCCACCAGGTGACCATGGGCCCCTCTGGTAACCAGGCGCCCCTTAAGTAACCAGGGACCCCATCAATAACCAGGGCCCCTCAGTAAACGGGGGCCACTCAGGTAAGTGTAGGAGTCCCGCAGATAACCAGGGCCGGCAAGGTTTCTCAGGTCCGTTTTTTGACAAGGCTCTTATTGACTCAGGTGCGAGCCCTTTGCCATCAGCAGGGCCCTTTCAAGCCTTTTGAGGGCCGTTTAACGTCTCTTGAGTTCCCATTGAGGCCTTCTAAGGGCCCTTTGAGCAGTCGAGGGGCCTTTGAGGCCTTTTGAGAGCCTCTTGACGTCAGCTGAAGACCGTTGGACGCCAGCTGAGGATCGTTTTTGGGCCTTCTGATGGCCATTAGACGCCAATGGATGACCCTCTGACACCAAATGGGGCCCTCTGACACCAGCTAAGGGCACTTTAAGTTTGACGCTAGCTCAGGGCCCTCTGACATTAGCTGGGGGGGGGGGGGGGGCTCTGACGCTAGCTCAAGGCCCTTTGACAATTTGACCAAATGGTTTAAGGCCTTCTGAGGGCCCCTTGATGTCTTCTAAGGGCCCCTTGAGGCTTTTTGAGGGCCGCTTGACGCCAGCTGAGGACCGTTTGAGGCCTTTTGATGGCCATTTGGCGCCAGCTGGGGGCCCTCTGTCACCAGCTAAGGACCCTTTAGAGCCTTCGGAGAGCCATTTGACGCAAGGGCATGGCCCTCTGACGCCAGCTCAGGGACTTTTGACACCCTTTAAGGCCTTCTGACGTCCGTTTGACGTTAGCTGAGGGCCCTTTGAGGCTATCTGAGGGCCCTTTAAAGCGCCATTTGAGAGTCCTTTGATGTCATCTGAGGGCTCCTTAAGGCCATCTGAGGGCACTTTGACACCATCTAAGGGCCCTTTGACACCAGATGAGGGCCCTATGACGCTAACTGAGGGCCCTTCGAGGCCATCTGAGGGCCTTTTGAAACCATCTGAGGGCCCTTTAAGGCCATTTGAGGGCCCGTTGTACACGGTCTTTGGTGGTCTAAAGATTAGTTAGAGGCCCATTTGAGGCGGCCTTCGGCCGCCTCAAATGGGCCCCTTCCTTCGAGTTGGGCCCCCCAACTCGAATGGGGGGGGCACGGGCCCGTGTGCCCCCCCCTTGTGTGCGCCCTTGTGCCTTGGGCGTAAGGGCGTAATGTTAAAATCATGCCGTTTGGGAGGGGCAAATGCCCATTTTGCCCCCCCCCTGGATCCGCCACTGCACGTAACCATTGGTTTCATTTGATGCTGGGTTTGCTTTTTTAAGCCGAAAGGAATCAATAATTTGATGCTGGGATGAAGCTGGGCTTATCCTCATTCATCAGAGGTTCAAGCCTCAAGGATTCTGAGTTATCATAACTAAGTCACAAGTCGCAGGGAGCAGTTTCAACCAGGGTATATAGAACGTTTCAACACCTTGGTTTTAATGTACAGTAGCGATAGGACTTGGGTAGATCCACAGTGTATATTATAGTAGGTTGAGGTCTTGATTGATCCAAATGTTTTTATTAACCTACCTACTGATACCACCCTGACCCCTTGCCAAAGATTGTAGGTCAAGTTAAGGCCTGGCTACGCTATGCGTTTTCTGCGTTCGTTTTTTGCGAGTTTGCGTGATAAGCTTAATATCTTTCTAGAAAAAAGTTATTACCAATATACATTTTTGATATCAATTAAAAGTTTATATGAAAAACATAACAATAACGTAATGTCGTTTCTTTCTTGAACGATATTACGCAAATCATGCAAACTCACTAAAAACATGCTGAAAACACATAGTGTAGCCAGGCCTTTATTCACTGGTGTTGCACTGAGGTAAAAAGCTGAAAAGAACTTGAACTGTAGGCTGCAGGATAGTTTGTTTGAGAGAATTGCTCTGGTGCCCTGTTTAACCCTCGCGGGCCCGGGGGGGGGGGCGTTTTTCGCCCCCCCTGGCGAATATTTGCGATAACTCCCGAACGCTTAGGGATAGGAAGGCGAAACTTTCAGTACCTTTTCTCCCATCAATTTGACATCTTCTGAAGTAAAAAATTTGGATCTAGCCCCCTTGATGACGTCACAAGGTCCATTTTTCTAGACCCCTGCACGGCAAACTTCGGCGTCACAGACGCAAACTTCAAATAGCTGCTAAAAATAGAGTTTTAGAGATAAAGACAGATTACGAGCACGGCTGTGTAGCGTTTGACCTAGAGAAAAATAGAAAAATAGTTTTGGTGACCTGAGGTCAGAAGTCAGGTCAACGACCCCGAAATCTGGTTTTAGTTTTTCGCAAATAACTTCGACAAAAATGGACCTAGAGCTACGGCAGTGGTACCATCGCATTCGCCTTGTCAAGCCGCGTCGAATGATATATATTTTGTTCGGAAAAGGTCAAGTTTCATGTTGACCTCATGTGACCTCGAATGACCTCTGGTTGACCTTGACACATGAAAGGTCGTTTATGATGGATTTGTACCCGCTGATCACGAATCTGGCATCTATTTTCCTCTAAGCCTTCATTTAGAGCTTACGGATGGCAAAATTTTCTTATTTATTATTACTAACTTAATAAGTGAAATAGCCTCTAGCAGGGATACTCTTCTGTGACATTGACCTTTGAGCAGCCTTGTATCGTAAGATGAACCACAAATAGGGAACTGATAAGCCTCAAAACATTTCAAAACATCTTGGAAGTTAGCACGCAAGATGTGCGAAAAGTGCCAAGTTTGAGGTCAATTTTGAGCGTGACCTTGACCTTGACCTTTGATTTAGAGCACATTTTCAGAATCCTCAGATTCTCTTCTTTCGTTTGACACCCAATTTTGCCGGTTTGATGCAGCCTGCCGTCCTCTAGAAGGCTTACTATGAGATCACTACACATGTGCCGGTTTTGGCCTTTGACCTTGACCTCTGACCTTGAAAATTGACCTGAGGTCAAAAAATTTAGGTGCAATAGAATGGTCTCGTAAGGACCTTTCGTTTGGTATCGCTTTTGTTTCCGTAGCTCCCTTATTTACGGAGTTAGACAGGGGGGGGGGGGGGGGCGAAAAACGCCCCCCCCCCCGGGCTGCGGTGGTTGGGATTACCCCCCGGGCCCGGCCGGGTTAAGAATCTTGGCCCTGTTATCACTGTCCACACTCCACCCTTAGAAGCAACTTAGAAGGGTGGAGTGTGGACTCCACCCTTCCAGTTTCGTTCTGACCTCTTCAGCTTTGATTTTCGAGTCTGGAAAATTTTTAAGGTTGAACATAATAGTCAGCCAAGTGTATATAATTGATAATGATATTGATAATAAAACTGTTGATCTGTTATTCACAAATTGATAAGAAAATTAAACAAATATTGTACCTAAGCCTGTAAATCACAAGTTATACTGTATTTTACTTTTCTCATTACTGTATGAATTCTTCACCATTATATGTGCTTTGCTTTCTCAGTTTTATCAATAATTAAACAGTTGGTACTTGAGTTCCTGGTATGTGTAGAAATCATTGATACATCTGCGGTCTGCCTTGAAAAGGTAACATCTTGTGTTGCCATTCTTTGTTCATCAAAGTTGTGGTCAGAGAGCATCACACCAGTGTATCACTAATCAGTGGTCTATAATATATTGCTATCTTAGAAATGGCAAGCGTGGACCTTGTGGGTTCCAAGAGGAGTTGGTATGGGCTAACATTTTACAGGTTAACAACCTTGTCTATAGGCAAGGTTGTTTGGTAGATATGGAAGGTCCTTGGCTTGATTCACTACAGCATTGCTTTTCATGCGACACAGGTCCACGTCTATCAACTTATACTTCCTAACAAATAACAAAATAAAAAATAAAACAATATGCTGAGTCATAAAGGTGTTAAGAACTCCTTTATGTTTTGATTAAAGTACAAATAGTTAGCATTTTATATAAATCTGTCTGAATACATTATGCAGCTTATCAAGAGTTTAATGCAAAGCAATACATGTGAAGACTGACACACATGTACATACTAGGCAGCAAACTAAGCCTGGGTTTCAGTTGTGGCTTTATTTGTATTGCTATTGTATTGTCATTGTCTCTGAGGAAAACAATAAGCCTGTACCTATACGAGTACTTAATTGTAAAGGCTGACATATGTGAACATACTAAGCAACAAACATGAACACTTCTTAAGTTTTAGGAAATTCATCAACTGTGCATGACAATAACTCAATCATTTTCTTGATACATACCTAATCGCTAACTCCAGACTCCCAAGTGTCCAAGCTGCAAACTACCTACCTCAAAGTTGATGAATCTCCAAGGCATAAGACACACACAATAGCATTACATTAAGTAGAATGCATGACAGTTCATTGCAATTTTAACGCTGTTCTTCGTCTGAGAGCTGTGGTGTGGTGTCCTGCAGTCTCCGGTCTCCATGTGACCGACTCTAACTTCTGTGCACAATAGCTGTCTGCGTGGTTTGTCGAGCATGCCAGCTGTGCAGCCCATTTGTATCTGTCACAGCGTGCCGTCTCCAGTCGGTCCCCCGCCTTCAGCTGCGGTCACACGCGGCTTCTCGCCGGATCAGTGGCGCACCATCAATCAGCGGGGGCGCGTGACGGTGCGGACAGGCCGGCCCTGACCGCCCCTTTACCCTGCCCGCCGGCAGGCCAGGGTCGCTGGTAACCCGTGGCTGGTGACCTGTGGCCTGTGAGTTGTGACCGAAGATGCAGAACTTCACCGGCGGCTCGGCGGCCGTGCCGGTCACCCAGGTGGAACTGACCCTGTCATGTCGGTGAGTGAGTGAATGGATGATTAATGAATGTGGTTAATGAGTGTGTGCGAGCGAGCGAGAGGGTGTGCGCGGGTGAGAAGTCAACAGTCTCGGATAGGGGTTTCGGAGTTGTGAGACATTTTATAAGCTTTTGGGACTTCGGTGTCTATTTGCAATCTTGTGCTGTTAAAGGAATGTGTGTGCTCCCACCAACTCCGATTCACCCAAATCTGCAATCAATCGATGTTATCTGACCTCTGACCTCTGTGACCTCTGGCCTTAATTGGCCTTAATTGACCTCTGACCTCTGTGACCTCTGACATCTGACCTCTGACCTTTTCCCAGACACCTGGCGGACATGGACGTGTTCTCCAAGTCGGACCCGATGGTGGTCGTCTCGGTGGCACCGTTCGGCTCGTCAGCACGCGACAGACGCTGGGACGAGTACAAGCGCACCGAGGTGGTGCAGGATAACCTGAACCCCGACTTTGCCACCAAGGTGCCCATCGCCTACCGGTTCGAGGAGCAGCAGTTTCTGCGGTGAGCGCCCGGCGGCCGACCGGCTGGGACTCCGCCTGGCCGGCCGAGTAGCTTGTGTTAGGAGCTGTGGACGCTGGGGACGCTGAGGCTGGATCCTACTAGCGCCAGCTTTCAGTCAGAGTCGCGATGACATTTGGGGATGGAACGGAAGTGACAGATGCTCAATCGGTCAGTTGATTGACCATGGCCTATCTCAACAGGCACCGTTCTTCACTCGGGGTAGTGGAATGGGTTCATTGCGTTGTTTATTTCAATATAGTATGCTGTTAGTAAAGCCCTCCTGGCACAAAAACATTCGAAACTAGGTAGGTAGGAACTAGAAAGTCGTATATAATACGCTCTGCATTAGCGTAAGACGCTTAGCGTAATGACCTAGTGTTGTACTAAGAAGCGGTTTCGGAAACGGTTGGCATCATTATCACTGCTCCTGGACCACAACGGACTGTGGAAGTCTCGTACAGGGACCCGCAGTTGCTACTGTACAGCGACCCTGAGTAAATTGTCCCAGCACCCTCACAGGGAACAACGATAAGCTGTCAGAGGGTACTCACAGGAAACCTCAGCTGCTCTTGTACAGGGACCAGCAGTCGATATCAATGTTATCGGTTGTTACTGGACAGGACAGACGGTTAGACTTGGGGATTGTGTACAGTAGCAACTGCGGGTCCCCGTACCATCTATGTATACACAGACAATATGACATTGTATTTTCAGACAGTCCGACGTGTAGTTTCCTTCCGTCTCGGTTTCCAGTACGATAGTGCCCGGGTAGTCCCTCAGATGTCATCAGGCCCGGACCGGACGTACCGCGCGGGCTCTGATCTGATCCTGGTGTAATTGGACGTGAGTGCACGAGACCGCAATCCCGCCGGGCCGCAGACACTGGTAGTTAGGACGGCGCTACTGCTGAGGATTGCTTTCAGCTGCGGGACGTACCGTACGGCGGGAAGGCCCGTCCGTGAGCCGCGCGCTGTGAAGTCACGTGACGCGCCGTGACGCCGTAGCGTCGGCTAATGGTGCCGAGCAGGGGCGTGCTCCCCGGGGTACCGCCGCACACAGCCGCTATCCGGGTTCAGAAATGGCCAATACCCTAATTTTCGACAAATTTTAAAGCGTGCTTTTCTCACATTTTCTGGTCGTAAATTGATCAGACTGTATAAAGTATCATCCAGATTACTCATTCTGGCACAGATTGGTGGGCTCCCAAAGTACACCGTTTTGTTTTGCTCCGTGAGACCGAACTTGTGCTGCGATCTTCATGTAAATGTTGACGAGTCTCCTGTCATATTCTTTGCTTGAAAATGCGTAAGTAAGATATCAGCTAAAAGGGGAAAATGTGCGGAATCCATTGGTAACAAAAGTGGATCTAAAAAACTTCCCACTCAGTTATTGTAAGCTAATTGTTGCACACTTGCACAAAGCAGAAGGGCTTGAGGATTTCAATATTTACATAGGCCTGCCAAAAAACGCACAACGTGCTTCACATCGAGACAACGTCCATAACATATACCGTACAATTGTGATTCATTTGCTGAAGAAATTAGGTTGGCATCACACTTCCGGCAAAAGTTATTACAGTTCGAGTGACGCTAGGTCGCTGCCCGGCCGACCCCGGTCAGGTCGGCCGAGCGGCGGCCGCGCAGCTGACGTCCGTACGGTTCGGCAGCTGACCAGTCAGCTGCGAGAGAGGAGCGCGGTCCGTCTAATCGCCCCCGGCAGTTGCTTGTGCGGAAGGGTGCTCGACGCTCGTGTCGATTGCATTTGTTGGTTGTCGATTGTCAATTGACTTAAGGGGTATACTTTCTGGTGACCAATAAATGTACGTCGTCTTAACTGAATGTAGTCTGATCAAATTCAATAAAGCAAAAAGATATCCAGCCAACAGAACATCGTAAGAATGTCCGATATGGTTGATAACATTCAGAGTTTTGGGGAGCAGCCATCGACCAGAATAAAGCTTATTGGCTTTTGTATGTAACATTTGCATTGCTTTTGGAAAGTTTCAGTCAGATATCTTCAGAAATGGCAATGTTATCGGCTTTTGCATTTTACCGTAGTCGGTTAATCACAATTTTCGATATTGCAAAGGCAATTTCAGTACTGACATCGAAAACCAAAACGAATAGCATCATCGTGTTCCAGAGCTCAAATTGCATCCGATGCACATATTTTTTTTTTTTTTGTTGAGAATGTTCAACTTCAAAATTTGACCTTTTTGACCTCGCCGTGACCTGACCTTCATTTGTCGAATGGAAATAGTTTCGAATCGGACGGCCCAGATGACATCATTTTTAGATGCTTTTGCCGAAATGGACCATTAGCCCGCGCCCTGGTGGGGTCTGTTTATAACGCGACCTGGTGGGGGGGGGGGGGGGGGCTATTTTTTGCCCCCCCCCCTCGTATCTCCGAAACTACTGGACGGATCCGCAAAATTCAAACGGCGCTCGAAAGCCCTGTCAAATTTGTCGACGGAAACCAAATTTCATTGACCTCATGGTCACCGATGACGTCACAGGTCAGGTCAAAGATGAAATGTTTCACCGTTCACGGGTCTACTAGGGAATGCGCTATAACACCGAGGAAAACGCATTTTGTCGAGGATCAGCGATAGGGCGTCAGTTGCCTAGTAGATATGTTGCTATTAGAGGTCACTGACAATACCAGGTCAGCTCACAGGTCAGGTCACCAAGGGTCACAGGTCAGGTCACATGAACCCAACTTTACTTAGGTTGTGTGATGCATGTTTTATGGCCAATTTTTCATTTCCAACTCAATGGTGTTGGTTATAAGACTATCAGGTAAGGCTTAGGTTACTTTCTGGTGAAGGTCAGGTCAACGTCAGGTCAAGGTCAGGCCAAAAAAAGTCAAATTTTAAAGTTGATAGTTTTGCATAAAATGGGTATTGATTCGATGCAGCTCGTCACGGGGAGTCCAATGGTGGTCTTTGTTTTGCGCTACGAGGTCTGGAATTGCTAAAAATTGAGTTTGAAAATTTGACGTCATCAATTTTGAAGTTTTTTCGCTATAACTTCGCCAAAAAAGAGGTATCAATCTCAAATTTGGTATGTGGATGGAAGGCGGTAAGAACTATCACATATATTCCGGTTTTTGCGAAAATAAAAATACTTTTTGGATTTTTCGATAATTATATCAAAAAAATCTATTTTTTGATTTTTGGGGTTCAAAATCCAAAAATTTCAAAAATCCGAGATAGCAGTTTTGTAGCCCTGTCAATTCTACAGCTTTGATGTCTTTATCATTTTTCTGTATTTGCAAAGCTATAGGCCTGACAGCTCTTCCCGCGAAACCCTTTTTTGGGTCGAAAACGGCAGAACATGACGTCACTCTGACGTCATTTCCGGCCAACCTATCATAGCTTTTGGAAAATTTTTTGGTCACAATGTGTAAAATTGATGGTCCGGGAGGGTACTGAAAGTTTGGTGACGATCGGCGCAGCGGTTTTGGAGATATATCGAAAAGTCTGGAGGGGGGGGGGCAAAAAATAGCCCCCCCCCACCAGGTCGCGGGTTAAAGATGTGTCGCATGACCTTAAAAATGTATACATTTCCTTCCATGACCTTTTCCGTGACCTTTTGTGACCCATGACCTTTCCATGACCTTTTGTGACAAAGTTAGGTTTCGTTTGTCAGCTATTCCTATCAGAAACCGTTTGAATTTTTAGTATTGAACGAGTAGTTTCGAAGACAGCAGGGAAGCTATGCAGAATCCCCTCCCTAGTGACTAGTCACCCACGTTATGGGATATACCCGTCATCCGCGGATTACAAGCAAACATATTTTTACGGCAATGCTGGATCAGCAGGATGGTCATACGTTTCCATACGTGACCTTAAGGTTTACTTCACATATAATAAAAATTTCTTGGCAAAATGTCAACTGGTTAACGAGTTATCGCATTTTGGCCACTTCCGAACTCAAATAGCGGCTGTGTGCGCCGGGGTCGTTAGGGACGAGAACTGCAGCGGGTCTCCCCGCGCCGGCCGGGCGCCTGCCGGGCCCGGCCCGCCGGTCCGCAACTTCATGATTTTATCGATAAAGAAACACCGCCCTTGTTGATATGCTGTCAGCCTGCTAGATGTATCTTCGGCTGGTGTCCCTATTTCATGCGGTTTTAGTCCTGCCTTTTTTGCATGATATCTGATAGATGGTCGTCCGTTGCTTATTAGCAATTTTATTTACAGATTAGCCGGACACGACTATGCTGTATTGCTTAGTATGTAGGTCAGCTTAGGGACCGTAATCCTGATTATGGTGCTATGCGTTTTTTGGTCAATAAAGTAATTTATGTAATGGTGAACGATTTTTTTTCATGCGCAGTTAGATTTATGAAAATACGTTTTAGCCATTACCTATAAAATATGTTGCCCCATTTCATGCTGACGACCATAATGGGACTGCGAATGACTCGCTTTTTGGGATCCGCTTTGTAAATTTGATTGCTAAGCTTAATGTCAAATACCAAAAGTACGTCGGATCTATGGTATCACCCTAGAATATCTAGTTTCTGTTCAACAGGTAGCATTTCTATCAATACCTGGCAGGGTGCGTGGGAAGGTACCAATTTATTTTGATCCACCCCGTCACCGTCACCCGGATCAGGCCGTCGGTCAGGGAATGCCGCTGAGTGCGAGCGGTCCTTACGTAGATAGTTGGGACATTCCCCGCTGTTTTTAAATTGGTCTGGCTCAGTACCGAGTTCACGTCAATATCCGCAATAAATGTTTCATTATTGTGAGATTGACTCGTGGGCGGTACCTGCAGCCTTTCAGTGAGGATTACTAAGTCCTTTTTACTGTTTGTTCATCTTCTTGCCGGCCATACTTTCTGATTCCCCTGGTTTATTTTGTCGCTGGTGACGTAGTCTGATTCCTATTGGCGCATTGTCGTGTAAGTATGAAAATGTGGAGAAGCTCGGAGAGTTCCGGGAGTTTAGGAGGACTTTTCTTTTTTCCTGCATCTTGCCGTTCTGATCCGGATCTAAGAAGTGAGCTCCTCATGGGCGGGGTCCGGGAGGGTAGTTACCTACCGCACCACTGCGTCCGGGAGGGCGGGTGTCGACGGAGCGGAGCAAGATGGGGCGCCTGAAGAAATGATACTTATAGGTAGGAGAGCAATTTTTAAGGTGCTCACTCAAGTGCTGTTTATTGCTGACGTGAATACCATGGAAGAACGATGTTTGCTCCAGCGACCGACGGCTTGCGTACAGGGTATGATGGTTCGCACTTTGCAGTACGGTAAACGACGTTTGAGAGAAGGCTAAGTTGGTGAGACGGGGTTGGGTTTTTAGGGCGAGTGGTCATACTGATAAAAAAGTCCGACGTGGCAATGCTTGAAAAAGTCAGCAGGTACCCTTACCCGTGTATTATTGAGGAAGTGATACTCCGTTGCAACTATGGTTGTCAAACTATAAATCCATTCCGGTACCTGGTGTTATCTCAGCTATCGTGAATCCTATAGCTTTTTTCCTGCGACTTTTGTTTGTCTTTGTGACTATCGTGATGTTCATTTCACGACTCATTGACGTGTAATTCATGACTTACGTGACGTGACCCCACGACTCCCCTAACCCGCACACCGCGTCTCTCCCTCCGTCGTCAGGTTCGACGTGTACGACGTGGACTCGTCGTCTGCCCGGCTGGAGGAGCACGACTTCCTGGGCCGGCGCGAGTGCACGCTCGGCGAGCTGGTGTCGGCGCGCGTCTCCGAGCTGCGGCTGCAGGGCGGCCCGCCCAGCGGCGCGCAGCCGGCCACGCTGATCGTGCACGCCGAGGAGATGCTGGGCTCCAAGGAGGAGGCGGTGCTGCAGTTCTGCGGCAGGAAGCTGGACAAAAAGGACTGGCTGTGGGGCAAGTCGGACCCGTACCTGGAGCTGTTCAGGTCGACCGAGGAGGGTCAGTGGGTGCTCGTCTCGCGCACGGAGGTGCTCAAACGGACGCTGAACCCCGACTGGCGGCCGGTGACCGTGTCGGTGGGCTCGCTGTGTAACGGCGACTACCAGCGCAACATCCGTGCCCTCTGCTGGGACTGGAACGCCAGCGGCACGCCCGACCTCATCGGCGAGTGCTTCTTCACGCTGCAGCAGCTGCGCGACGCCACCAAACCGGCCGCCTTCGACTGCATCAACAAGGAGAAACAGGTGCGTGCGCAACGGCCCGACTGCGTGTGAGCGTGGGCGTGGGGTTGGGAGGGGGTGTGACGTATGTGTGTGTGTGCGTGGGGTGGGGGGATGGGGAGGGCGTGGCGTGGGGTGTTTGTTGGAGGATCTTTATATCACTGGTAAACCAAGACCATTCGAACTCAAACTGCGGCTCTTATCTCATTTATCATTATGTATTTGAGGGGCAGGGCAATGGGTAAATGTGTTTTTACTGCATTCTAGAACATATTTGCATTGTTTGTCTACCATTCCCCATTTTTACGTTGTTTGTTTACATTGCTCCTTTCGCGTAATTAATTTACGTCGTTCCGAGGCGTTTTATATGTAGCAGCACTCTAGAATTACTATAGGATTAACGTGATTGCTGCCATAAATCTGTTCGTAGGACAATAGCTCGCAGTCGCCAAATTGATGGGAAAGGACTTGCTACGAAGGAAGACGCCTCTTTTCTTAACCCTCGCCCGCACATGGGGGGTGGTTGCAACCCCCCCCCCCCAGGCAGTCTTTCTGCTGTGCACTTAACGTTTTTAGAGCTAGAAGGCTGATTTTCCGTATAGCTGCTCCTCTATCCTTTCTTGATGTCCACTGAACATTTGAAGTTCTGTGATTTTTGGTTTCGGAGATATGACCTTGTTTTTCAGGTCATGTCATGACCCAAATGGCCAATTCTCAACATCTTGCGTTGGCTATGGGCCTTGTGAGCTTTTGACACCTTGATTTCGGCCTTTTTTGCCAGTCTTACCTCCCACCTATCATGGAACATGTTGTTCGACGATGTACAGATGTCAAGGTCAGGGTCAAGGTCAACCTAGGTCATCTAAGATAATTGCGTTTTAGGCAGGCTGAATTTACTTTTTGTGATGTTTTTTTGACTGCATTTTTGTTAAAAGCTTCTCAGATCATGATTTCATGTAATATGGACACATAAACAATGGGTGCACACATCAGTATACACACAGACACACACAGACACACACAGACATACAAACACATATCATTGACCTTGACATAACTTGACCTGAAATGACCTCAGCAGCAAAAACCTGGTCGGGTAGTGTGACAAGGAGGTTCTAGCTGGCTTGGCACCAGAAAACGGCATCGTCATCGGTATATGATAAGCAGCGCACTTGATATCCAACGGTGACCCAAAACAGCAACATTTTTTAGTTTGACCTGACCTGGAAGGTTAATGACTGACCTGAGAAGGTCAAACTGGGTATCATTGGATTCGTCTCTTCCCAAAGAATCTTTTTGGTCTTTACCGCTAAGCTCTATCTCCAACAGGAACGAAATGGCGCGGGGGGTGGCAACCCCCCCCCCATGTGCGTTCTAGCCCGCGAGTTGCTGGGGGGGGGGGCGTTAAACGCCCCCACTTTTTTCGCCGGACCATAGCATAAAAACGGCGCGCCGCAGGCGCGCCAAATTTTGGGTACCTGTAGGGAATTGATTGAAGTTTATTGTGACAAAGTTTCAAAAAAATCGGTCGGAAAATTTTTGAGATATCGAGGTTTTAGTGACGTCATGATTTCTGAGTTTTCGACCAAAAACGGCATATGTTCAAAAAATCATATAAAATCACAGAATAGACATACAGACATGCCGTAAACGCCATAAGACTGCCAATACCATGATCAATCAAATGGCTATCTTCGATTATTGATTATCGTTCCGCATTTTCCATAATCTTGAACTGAATCTTGGCAATTTTTCGTAACTCCTTCACGACCATGATACATGCATTTCTTAAATTGAACTTTTTGAGCCAAACACGTACACGTATGATAAAATGAATGTCACCATCGTGTTCTACGCCCCAAATTACCCATAAAACATGTGTCACAGGCTGCGAATATCAGTTTTGATTTTCGGGGATATGTGCCTACCCGGTTGACCTGACCTTGACCCTGACCTATGCTTGACTGACCCCTACATGGAGCTGACACTCTTGTAGGCCTTATATGATGGATTGTGCACCGTTTGGACAGAGGTTATGACGAGAGGCGCCCATTGCGAAGTCCTGAAGTCCATGCTACTGAAAGCCCGATTTCAGGTGTTTGACCTGACCTTGACCCGACCTGTGACCTCAAAATTCAACTTTAAAGTACTCATCTGAAGCGTCTCGTCGCGCTCTTTCCTTTGCCGCCTCGTGCGTTTCGCTGCGCCTATTGGTTCTCGAGTTATCGGCTGGGGGCGTTTAACGCCCCCCCCCCCCCCAGCAAACGGTGGGTGGCGAAATACCCCAGAAACTGCCGGGCTAGGATGGGAAAATGGCATGTGCGGGCGAGGGTTAAACAACCTTAAGATACAATGGAAAGCTTTTAGAATGCCTTCAAGTAGGCAAATATTTTGGATTATTGGATACCATTTGGATATTTGTCGTCGGAAAAGTGCGGTTGGGCCACGATGATATCGTGAATTAGGATGAATTAGAATACTCGTATGCATAATGAGTTATTTTTATGGTTCAAGAAGCATATCGTTCTGACGTACGCTCGTCGTTCACGGGTCTCTAATTGGCTGATGAATTATGGCCATACATAATTTGCAATTTACATTGTGATATTACTGATTACTATTAAGTGTGATCTCGATCTAATGCTGGTCCTATTTCTGTCAAGACCTATCCCAGTGCATTGCAAACGGCCGAGAGGCCTACCATCTGCCGGCTTATCCGGCGGCGCATTCATTTGAATTCAATTGTGCTCCTTTACCGCGTTAATCGCCCTCGGCTGATGGGTGGCAGCCTTTTTGCCGGTGAGCCGGCTTTCGCAGCGCCGCGCGCCGCCCCCGCCCTCCGCTCTGAGCCGCCATCGGCGGTTTTTGACGGCGGCGAACTCCGCTCTCTGAGGAGGCGACTGATGGCGAACTGCAAAGCTCGTCTGAGAGCTCCTCTAGCCACCCCCGCCCCCCGCCTCGCCACTTTGAGACAGACGGCTGGATGACTTCTGGCGGTTTTTCCTCTCGGTTGAACTTGAGTGGTCGGATAGTTGTGCTAGATTGATAGCTCTTTGGGTTTTCTGTGGGCCTTTAAATGACACTTAATGAGGCTCAAGATTGAGGCCCTTTTTGCGTATGCATTTTAGTTAATCAGTAGCAGCTCACGTTTTCCTTTTTGTGGTAGAAAATGTAGTCAAGCGTAGTGTCTGATGATATCCATTATTACACAGTGGCGCCTCTGATAATTATTATTTGAATAATCCCGATGTTTTTACTATTTTAAAACCATTTGACTATTGAGTGCATATTCAATTTTCCGCGTCACAAGCTAGTACGTTATTGATGGCGAGGACTGACTGCAGCCGTATTGTTAATCCTCCGCCTTCAAAGCTGACCCAAGGCCGCAATTTGTCGGAGCTTGCGGCAGGAATGGTTCTGAGGGCGTATAACTTCTCAAGTTCTGCCCATCTCACCGATAAGTTTATCCATTCATTGCACTATCGATGTTGATCAGATCCGATAGAGGATGTGAGTAGCGCGTCACGGTGGCGGTCTGCGCGGCGTCGCTCGGCGATAGCGTTAGCTCGATCCGTGCTGCTCCTCCTGGCTATGTCATGACAAAACCTGACCTGATGGTATGATCTGGCTGGATCTACATACCACACCTTGTGTACAGGTGCCAGTAGTTTTTGTGATGAGTGTGCGTTATTGTACATTACAGTTCCGTGGAATGCATTTTCACTTCAAGTAGGAAAGCAAATGCCTTATTTTATCTTGCACAAGTGGACCAATGTTAAGGCTCAACTAATTTCGAATATCAACAAAGTATCTGGGCAATGCGCTGATGCCGTTTTTAAGCCTCAGCCGGAAAGCTCAATGTGCATCCATGCAAATTCAATCAAACTAGCAGGATGATGCTGATAAACATCAACAAAATATTTTCCGAAAATGAGGGACACTGCTGTCCGGACGGTTTGGTCGGAGATCCGTACTCCGCTTGGTAGTATGATAATTCCGCTACTGAGAGGCTTCCCAGCGGCGGTTATAGCCCTGATTTCGTATCCTATTGATTTAGGACTCTGGGTGAAGGTTTGTTTGTGGCCCAGAACAGCGATTGTCACTATCCGAATATGAAATAGCTATTTGCCTGACTGCTTTCGGGCCCTGTGATGCCGCTTGGTTTGACCAAGAGCACAATAAAGTTATCAACTTCCCACTGGACTGAAGGCAGCACTATCGATAGACAATGGGCAATCATGAACGTATTTGGCGTCTATTTGTCTTAAATTCGATGGTGGTCGTAAAACCAATGATGCTCCAATATTCCAGAATTGGAAACCCTGAGCCAAAACTTCTTAACTCTTAAATGACTGCCAAACAAAATACATTTTAATTCTACATTCTGATTTATCGTCCGCCATTGGCCGTCATTATTTATCTCACAAATTGAGCCACCGTACTCTGATGCATGTTCTCCGCTGCCTTTCTGGTATGATGCCGCCTCGCTCTCCCGCCCAACCCGCTCTCTTTGACCGGTCGGTACCCCGCCTCCCGTCTGTGCGGCAGGCGCGGAAGGGCTCCTCGTACCGAAACTCCGGCCAGATCATCCTGCAGAGCTGCCAGATCCGCGTGCAGCACACGTTCCTGGACTACATCCAGGGCGGCACCGAGCTGGCCTGCACCATCGCCATCGACTTCACAGGTGAGCGGCAGAGACTTCACACCTTAGGGCTGAGTTCGACGTTGGAACGCGCTGTTCCTCTGCTCGGTAACGTATAACTGGCTTGCCGCGGCATAGCTATGTCACTCGACTCTGTAACGTTCTGTTACTGTTGTCGAGCGTTTGTACATCAGAGTTGACTAGGGGAGGGGAGGGACGAGGAGAGGGGTGGTGACTGTGACGTCATAATGACGCCATTGTCACACTCGGGATTATTCCACCACTGACGTCACTATCTGTCCCGGTCTGCCACCAGTGACGTCACTAACTGCCCCGATCCTCTCCGGCAGCGTCCAACGGTAACCCCATGCAGCCGGACTCGCTGCACTACCTGGGCCGGGACGCCGCCGGGCGTATCAGTAACCCGTACGTGACGGCGCTACGGGCGGTCGGTAACATCATCCAGGACTACGACAGCGACAAACAGTTCCCCGTGCTCGGCTTCGGCGCGCGCGTGCCGCCGGCCGGCATCGTCAGCCACGAGTTCTTCGTCAACATCGGAGCCGAGACGCCGTTCTGCTACGGAATCGAAGGTAGTGGGGTGCGAATGCGGAGTTTCTCGGGGAAACTGGATGGTGATGCAGAGGCTGGCTCGAGTGGTAGCTGGGGTCGGGTTGGTAACAAGCTGAGTGGTAAGAAACTCAGAGGAATGATGAGTCGTTTGTTTGCGGTGATGGCAAAGCATGGGGAATGTGATACATGGTGACTTGTGTCCTAACTTGTGTTAGTGACTTTTTACATGTCTTGCGTTCCTGTTCTTTGAAGGTTTGGTGGCGTCTTGGTTTGTCTCAAATGATTGAAATTTAAAACGAATAGAATTAGTCAGCGAAAGTTTGAAAAGCAATGTGGTGGTGGCGTCTTTCAAAATGCATCATATCACAACATAACTTATCTTCTCTAGTGACTTTTAGTTAGCAACTACTTAGCATACTACCCAGTAACCCTGACTGGTGTAGTCCCATTAGTTCTCCGGAGCGTTGTCTCCACCGATAGTGTCCCTCTGACCCGCCCGGGCTCCGACAGGGGTGGTGGCCGCCTACGAGCGCTGCCTGCCCCAGATCCAGCTGTACGGACCGACCAACTTCGCCCCGGTGATCCAGCACGTGGCAAACTTTGCCAGCCGGTACCGCGACGGCAGCCAGTACTTCATCCTGCTCATCATCACCGACGGTGTCATCACCGACATGCCGCAGACCAAACAGGTGAGCTCGGTGATCCACAACAAACAGGTGGGCTGGGAGGGACAGGCTCAGAGGACCAGGCTGCTGTGTCAGACGGTGACAGCAGGGCGGACCAGGCAGGTATATCAGGCACCCACTGTATGACGAACAGGCGCGTCAAACACTCACAGTGTAACAAACAGGTGCGACAAACACTCACATTAGACGAAACAGGTGCGTTAGACACCCACATTACAGAAAAGAGGTCCTTCGCAGACCTACAGCGAGCCAAATAGGTGCGTAACGAGATTTGAGCATGCTCATATGTTGACATGTGATGTTCATGAAATGTAGGAATTGCTGATTTTATACATGAATTTCATCAACAGCATACCCTTATTATACAAGGTATGTATTGATTTGCCTCGCATTCTTCTAGTGAAGCTGCATGTGGGTCCTGGATTGGTGTGCACTGCTGAACAATGACATTGCACTGTTTCTAGGACGTGTGTCATGGGATGCTTACGTAGCTTACATGGCTACGTAGATAAGCGCAGTTTATCGCTTGCAAATTAGATGCCACTGCATACTAGACGGATGGCAGCACGAACACTAATTTGTTGAATTTAACGGCAGCTGCACTGGATTTCGAACTAATTGCATACACCTCGTGACGCATCTATTTGTATAGATCGTCTGTCCCAGAAATCGATGAGAGCTTATGTCTGGTGTGAGGATCATACGTCCTTGCCAAAACACCTGGGTAAATGGCTGTTCTGTAAATTATTAGACTAAAGACCTGTTCTCAGTCATGGCTCCAACAGTTCAGCGTGGGTCGGTTTATTTACGCCAAATACTGACTGACTAAATAGCCGATTGCTGGAGCGTTGGTGGGGAGATTGACAACAGCTAGGTCTTAGTAAAATGTCCCAGTATTACTGGTATTTATATGGCAATTTACAGGGTGTTCCGAAAAAAGTGTCACAGTTTCAAACGTGTATTATAAACGCTTGACAAGTATTAACGCATTAAAACATACACCATATGAAAGCTCACGTTTGTCGTTTTTCAACAAGGTTACTCTCGTATCAGTGCTATAACTCCTTGCCAGAGGGCAGAGGAGTTCCTGCGATCACAAGTTTACGCGAACTTCTTGTAGTTCACGTTCTCGATATGGGCACCACCGCGGTTGAGACACGCCTTGATTCTGGCCTGGAAACTCTCAGCGACTTTCGTCAGAGTCTCGGGACCGACTTGATGCAGGTATCTTTCGACGTTCTGCTTAAGCTGGACCAGTGTCTTGGGCTTGCCTGCGTACACAGTGTCCTTGGCAGCCCCCCACAGCCAAAAGTCTAGCGGGTTGAGATCAGGGCTGTGGGGAGCCCACTCATGGGCGGTGCCGAGAGACATGAGGCGAGCGTTGAACAGCTCCTTAAGGCATTCGATACTCTCACGCGCAGTGTGAGGCGGAGCTCCGTCTTGCATGAACCATGCCTGTTGCAGTTGGTTATCGGTGAGCATATCGGTCAGATCCGCGTAGAATTCCCGGATGACCTCGCGGTAGCGCTCGCCATTGATGGTGACGGTCCGGCCATCTTCTTCGAACCAGTAGGGACCGAGGAGGCCGTGAGTGGCGTTGTAGGCCACGAAGGCAGTGACCTTCGGGCCCTTCAGCTGCTTCTCCGTTACTTCTTCCGGTGGTGAGTTACCCCAGAAAGTGTTGTTGTGGTTGTTCACCGCACCGTTCAGGTGGAAGTGAGCCTCGTCTGAGAACCAGACTCGGTTCACCCACCGCGCGTTCCTCTCCATCTTGTTGGAGATCCATTGACACATGACTTGCCGCTTTTGCCTGTCCCGATCCGTCATCTTATGTCTGGTGGATATTATGTACGATGACAGTTTTAGCTCGTCGCATAGGATGCGTCTTACGCTGGTTTTAGCAAGTCCGAGCTGTTGAGAGCGTCGACGGAGCGACTTCTTGGGACTGGCAATGACGGAATTTCGCACGGCCGCGATGGTCTCTGGGGACTTTGAAACCGATGCTGGCCTGCCGCTGCTGCCCCTGTGAGTATTCAGGACTGAACCTGTTGTCTCAAAATGGTTAACAAACCTTGCAATGAGTTTGTTGCAGGGCAGATCTCGAGTTTCCATGTCACACTCGCGTCGAAGTCGGCGGCGGACGGTGACGTACGATTTCGTCTCGAACCATAATCGGACGATTTTGATTTTTTGTTCTGGCGAGAAAACCATCGTAGATTTTGGTGAACCGTTTTGTCCACCAAAATCGACAAGGGTTGTGAGCAACATATCTTAAGCCAAACTATTTCGGACAATTTTTACGGAAATCGCACGTGACTAAAATCGTGACACTTTTTTCGGAACACCCGGTAATTGTTAAACGACGCATACTATTCAATAAATTTGATTCCCCATGAGTTTGTATCATATACTTCAGTGCCTGTAAATGTTATCAGTCTTCGAAGCTAATTGGTTGTCAATCGGCCAGTAAAAGCTAAACGTCCGTCATATCCCGACAACGGTCATCACTATCCACCCAATCAGCCGCCGTCTCAGCGGCTCGAGGGCGGCCTGACCGATCCCGTCAGTTACCCTGTCCCTGACCTGACTTGCCCTGACTTGGGTTGGCCTGGCGATATTTGGCGCGTTCCTGATCTGGGTTGGCCTAGGTATGTGATATTTGACGCGTTCCTAACCTGCCCTGACCTAGACTTATCAGTGGCGATCAGACGCGTCCCTGACCTGACTAGGGGGGACCTGGGGTGTTTTGACGCGCTCCTGACCCGCGGTACCCGTTCGGCAGGCGATTGTGAGCGCCTCCAGCCTGCCGCTGTCCATCATTATCGTGGGCGTGGGCGGCGCCGAGTTCGACGCCATGGAGGAGCTGGACGGTGACGAGGTGCGTCTGACGGCCGGCGGCCGCGCCGCGCAGCGCGACATCGTGCAGTTCGTGCCGCTGCGCCGGCTGTCGGGCGGCGACCCGGCCGCCGTCAGGACCCGGCTGGCGCGCGAGGTGCTGGCAGAGGTGCCGGCACAGTTCCTCGGCTACATGCGCAGCGCCGGCATCCAGCCGCAGCCGCCGCGCGCCGCGCCCGTTCCCCTGCCGCCCGACCCGCAGCTGGTCTGAGGCCGATCGAACGGAGACCTGACCTGACGTGGATATTATGGGCGCTCCCCGACCTCTGGGTGACTGGCATCCCGTGTGTCCAATGTGTCCGGTGTGTCCTGTCTGGTGTGCCCCCGGCTCCCCTTGTACCCACCCCACCCCACCCCGGGGGTCCTCGCCAGACTAGGGGCGGCGCTCGCCCGCTGGGCTGGGCCCTGTTTCACCGGTGATAGCAGCAAGCTGCTATCACGTTTCGCGAGCTGACGTCATGTCGTGACGCCATACTGTTGTCGTAATGGGTAGTTCCGGCGCACGATTGCCGCGACCTTGGCGGCGGCATTAAGTGACGTATGAGCCTAAAAGTAAGAGTTTACGCAGTCATGATAGTATATATATTTTTGATATATAATTTTTCAATATGATGTATTTAAAAGAAGTTGGGTTTAGGAAAAATTTGGACATTAACTTCGAACATTTAGCTGATGACGTAAAACAATATTGCGGCAATCGTGCGCCAGAATTGCCCCTTACGTCAGCAGTATGACGTCATCACATTACGTCAGCTCGCGCAATTTGATAGCAGCGTGCTGCTATCACCGGTGAAACAGGGCCCTGGACTCCTGTGTGCGTGTCTGTGTGCGTGTGGGCGGGGACGCTGTCAAGTCGGGACTGCCGGCGGTCAGTTTAAGTCCCCGACCTGTCAGATGTGCATTTGGGTTTCCGTGGATGATGTACTTAGTAATATCGAAATGTGATGCAGCCAAGGGATATTGTTGAAGAGGCCATATAGCTGTTGTCCTGTGTGCTTAATCAGACGATTTTATTTACTTGTTTTATTTTTGTCGTGGATGAATGCTGACTGTGGTCCGATTTGAATGGGTTGTTGTTACGATATTTGTTTAAATGTCAGCCTTTATTAATCTGGGACGTACCGATACTGCTCGCCACTGTCGCTCAATTTGCAGCCGTTTCGCACAGCTCGCGCTGCCGTTTATAATTCGAGGGTCCAACACGCGTCTGCTGCGCACAGATGTGACGCGCCTTAATCACTTCAGTAGCTGCCCCGCTGCCCGTGCTCCGTGCTCCGCAGGTGACCTGTGAGGTCAGATAGAGCCCGCTAGCGGTGTGCCATCTACCGTTTGTAGCCAAGTAGCTTGATGAAGGGCCTAGACCCGTCAGCGGGACCCCGTGACCATACTCTCAGACTCACCCCAGGGCAGTGGTGTCTTCATGTGGCGTGCCTCAGATGGGGCGGGCTCTCGGGGCACGCCGCCGCCGCTAAGGTCACTCACACACCCTCGGCTAACGCCACAAACTCAAATACGCACCGAGCCCGCGCCCGATGTTGCTGTGCCAACCGTAGCCCTAAGTGAGAAACCTTGCTGGTTTTTGCAACGGCTGAGCTTCGTTGTGAGGTTAAATTTAGGTGTTGGTCGACTGGACATATTCCTACCAGTGGCACACGTCTCTTTATTGAGGCTGGCTACGCAAAATCACCCTGTGTTACATAGGGTTGAGGTCGGAGTCATTTCATCTGATGAATTCCTTTTTGTGGAGCATGAAAATAGTCCAACTTCTATCAAACTTGTCGGATAAACTAGAATTATATATAGAATAAATTCGTAGTTGGTGATTTCAGTAGAACCGTTTTTCCACAGCTCTGTGACTGGGCTTCTGTGCGTTTCCACGAGTTTCCATCTATAGCATAATTGCTGCGTCGTTCAAATGTATCCCGTTGCCGTCATACAAGGGCGGTGGGTGACCCCGCGGGATCTCCCTCACCTAATTGGGAAGGGTATGACGCAGCGCAGCTCCGTACCGGTACTAGCCGTATTTAATGGAGTACACCTGCTGCTGCTGGGATGCTGCTGGGGTGAAAGAATTCTGTTGCCTTGTGGGGTACACACGTCCGTGTCTGTGGGAGTATATGTCTGTCTGTTCGTATCCCCACTTTCCAACACTACCCCGTGGTCAGTACAAGGTTGTGTGTACTTATAGCATTGCTTTGGTGTCTCGATGTGCAATAGGGTGTGCTTTGATGGATTGTTGTCGCTCGCGTGCCGTGTGTGTGAGCCCGCGGGTGTGCGTCCCGACCCAGCCCTCCCGGCCGGCCCGCCAGTCCTCTCGCTCCAGCCGGGCCCCGACGATGGACGGGTCGCCGCCGCCGGCCGCTGCAGCTGCCCGCGGTGAGCTCTGTTTACGCTTTGGCCGCTGCGGCGTCTGGGTGCTTCCTCAACGCTCTGAATGTGTGAGCAGAGCTGTGATTGACCTGTCCGCCAGCCTCAACCCGTTGACGTGCCGCAGCGCAGGCGGAGGCTGTTGTCATGTCTCGTCAGAACGCTGACTGGTGTGTTATGTGGGCACTGAGTTAACCGGCTGCTTTCATGTCTCGCCATGGAGCGCTGTGATCTGTTTGGACCGCGGGCTGCAGCTGCCCCTTCTCGGGGCGTTTGGCGGCGCTCTTTCGCACTTGCCTGTCTAGCCACGCGACCAGTTACTCCCTATTCCTCATATTCTTGATTCACATGTATTTTTGCTACTGCTTTACTGCGTCGGCGTGCGCCACCCGCTCGCTGTGTCGCGCAGATGAATCGAACTACGTGCGCTTTAACTGCCTGCCTGTCATTACCGTGCCTATTACAGTTCACCTCAGGGACTGTGGGGCATCAATGGGGTTTCTGTGAAATACACATCAACGAATCAATTATGATCGTTTTATTTGAGCTAAAGAACATGGAAGATCGTCGGGGATCGCACATCATGAGTCGGGCGGCGCGTGCGGGAACATTATTGTCTTCACAAACAAACAGTATACGGCTTCCACCCGACGCGTGTCCCACAACAAACATACAAATACACCGACACACCCACACGGACGCAGCCGCCCACAGTCAGCCTCTGGCGGCCAGGACAGCACAGTCGTCCACACTCCGACTCTGGGCCGGTTGAGACGGCGTAGTTTTACCGTGTCCGCCTCTGGGGCGGCTGGCCAGACAGAGGCCATAAACCGGCACGGGCGAAACAGACTCGCCACAGTAAACAAAAACGACACGCGGGCGCACCGGCGGAGCGGGCAGACTGAGGTACCGGCCCGACCCTCACGGCCGTCCGACCAGCACCGGCTGTCCGTGAAGCCGCCGCGTGCGGCGGCGGCGGCAGGCGTCTATCACAGAAGGGCTCGCGGGGCGGCGCGGCGACTCACACCAGGCGCGGCTGGTGCCAGACCACGCTGCCGCCCAGACAGCCCGTCACCAGCAGACACTCGCACGGCGAGAACTTGGCCGTCACCACAGCGCGCTTGTGGGACGAGGTGGCGGCCAGCTCGTGCAGCGGCCGCGCCGGCGGCGCCCAGCACGTGCTCAGCTCCTGGCCCGTCTCGCTGAAGGCCAGCAGCCGCACGCCGTGGCCAAACGGGGAGCAGAGCAGCCGGCCGTCGGCGCTGAAGCACAGCTCCTTGATGAAGCCGTGCGTCAGTCGCAGGTTGGGCTCCTCGATGTAGCGCGTCAGGCGCGGCCGGTTCTGCGCGATCTGGTGGCTCAGGTCCACCTGGCGGTAGCGCTCCCTCGCGCGCGCCTGGGAGCCGATCAGGAACACCGAGTCGGCGCCGCCGCCGTGCCGACTCGGACCGGCGCGGATGATGAACGGACCCTGAGCGTCGCCGCCGACATCGGGCGACTCGCCGCGCTCGAGCGCGCGCTGGCGGCGCCGGTGCTCGCGGATGATCTCGAGCGCCTCGACCACGTCTGCCGAGGGCGCGCGCAGCTCGATGCTGCGGCCGGCCAGCTCGTGGATCAGACTGGGCTCGCCGGCGCCGTGGCGCAGCGTGGCATTGAAGCGGATCTGCATGAGCGGCCGCCGTCGGGCCGTGTCGCCGGCACCCGGCTCTTCGGGCTCGGCCTCTCCGTCCGGCCGCCGGCCGTTGACGCGGATCGTGAACAGCGAGCCGGTCGACTGGGAGATGTCCTGCAGCTCCCGCAGCGGGTCCGGGCTGCTGGCCGCCGGCCGCCGCGACCGCTCGTCGTCGGCCAGCTGCTCTGGCGGCGGCGGAGGCGGCGGCGGAGGCAGCTCCGGCTCCGGCGGATCTCCGGACGAGTCCGGATCCGCGTCGTCGTCTCCGGGCCGCAGCCGCTCGTCCTGGATGTCGTGCACGCACGTCCACTCGGAGGCCTCCTCGCTGCTCGTGTTGCGGCTGGCCACACACCAGCCGAGCGGGTGCATCGCCAGCGAGGCGATCATCTCTGCCTCGTTTCCTGCAGAGACACTCCGGGGGCGTCAGAAGGGAGGGGCGTAAGTGGTTTAACAGGAAATCAGAAGTCCGAATTGCCCTGTCATGTGTTCAGATTAGCTACTGTACACAGTGTTGTTAACGTTTCAAAAGAATTAAATAAGGAAATATAAAATTGATGCAAGGGCTCTAAGACACAGCACACAATTCAAGACGTGGAAAAATAACCGAAGATTGAAATCGGTCGCGAGCCATAACATAACTGAATGTCAAAAAGTGTCTCAATAATAAAAATAGGTTACAGACGACACAAAATAAATGGCTCATGAGCGCGGGGATATACCGGGAGCGCGTTGCAAATGGGGCCCGGAACAGCCCGATGACCTCAAACGAGGCCGTCCGATCTGCATTGAGAGTAGCGCGGTAAAGTCAGGATGGATGGGCCCATAAACCATCGGGCTGCGAGCCGATCGGTAATGGGTCGCTCGGCGCGACGGGCCCCAAAGCGGCGTCGCGTGCCGCGCTCTTGATGAGCTGCTCGGGCCGCCGACCAGCTCGCCTCAATGCCCCGACAGAGTCCCGCAGCCGGCGCCGACGCTAATGCTCGCTACTGTGAAACATTTAAATTAGCCGAGTTCGCGGCAACTGGCCGACTTCTCGCATCCTCGGCCTTTGATGAGTTAGACTTGAAACGGCGCTATTTCTCATCATTACCGACACGTCGGCGTAGCACAAGAAACTTGGGACGAGAAACGACTGCGGACAAACGGCCGTGGTGAGCGGACGTGGGTGGGCTCAGAGCTAAATTCTGCTTCTATTCGGTAACAACGAACGCAATACCTACTACCCATAGTGATATATGCACTGTGCAGTATATCGTACAATAAAATTACGTGTCTAGCTGATTGTAAGACTACCAATTTCACGCTAACCATGATTCACCAATAATTAGAAATAGGTCGAATATGAATTAAACCTTTAGAGTTTCAAGGTCAGGAAGACAAACAAATAAACGTCCATAAGCTAGCGGCAGCAACGAGAAGATTTCGTATGCCTCAAAGAAGATACGTGTAGTGCAACTTCACTCTATACGGCCAGTTGCAACCTTGTCAAATTCTGGCAAATAGCGAATAGGTAGTGTCGGAATTTCGCAAAAATAGCGTTGCAAAGTTCACAAAAAAAATCCACGCTGGCAGAGCAGTGGGGCCAGCGAGTGCCCGTCAGGTACGAAAAACAGCTTCATTTTAGCTTCAGTGCCTACAGATATAACGCAGACCTAAGAGGAAATAAGAAAATCTGCTGGTTGAAAAATGCTCACGGCAGGGCCAAGACGCGCCGCTGTCAATAGCACAAACAGCTGCTACTCTCGCAGTTCGTCGAAGCACTGGCTAAAATTGGTTTGCTAGCGTCCTCTGAAAGGCGGGATGCGAACTGCAGGTCTCGCCATGCACGACAGAGGGCATCGACGTCTGTTCGTTTGAAATGATTCCCCTCATCTACTAGCATATTCTTCCAGACCTCCTGCGCCAAAACACTCGAAGGTTGTGATAACCGAGCAAGGACGCCCAACTCCCGGGTCATTGTCCCTGGTCCCCGACTAGCGACCTCTCCAGCCGACGAGACCGTCGGTTCAAATCAAACCACCCCGTACTGTTGCGGCACTCATGGCACCGTGATACCGTTCGACCTGAGCCGTAAAGAGACGGATGATACCGCCAGCTACCAAGAGACTTCACTGTAGAGAGGACGTTAACAGCCAGACCCACCTTCCGGGAAGTCTGTGATGAACTCGATCCGGTTGCGCCGTCGAGACGTATCAAACAGGTGCGTGTAGCGGGCAGCCGCAGGGAACGGCGTCTTACTGATCTGCATCAGTTTATACAGGCTCGGCTGGCGACAGAGGGGAGCGGGCGTGTGTCACAGAGCCGAATATAGACAGGCGGGGACGATTAACAGAACAAACAATGGCACAATTATACCTCCGGAGCGAGTTAACGTAAACACAGCCGCAGACCAGGGTCAGCGCTCGCTTCCAGATTAGACGCAGGGTTTGCCTGTTTGGTGTGCTGTTCTCCGTATTTCGTGCGCTGAACGGATTCATATAGCCAGTCGCTAAGACAAAACGTGACAAAAAGAACCGCACGTTAAATGTGGCCCAGAAAAGAACACAGAGGCGCAAAAAAGAGCGTCGGAGAATACAGGCTGCCGATTGTCACCAGACTGACCTTGAAGCCCCGCAGGTCTTCCTGCATGGTGTCGAAGTCGACGTCGTGCACCACCATCAGGTAGCCGTTGTTGGTGCAGATCACCAGCTTGCTGAAGTCGGGTGTCAGACTGGTGCGCATCAGGCCGTTGGTGTGCAGTACCCGTGTGTTTTGCGTCCGCTGCTCCGAGCCTCTGCCGCATGCCGAGAGGGAGAGTCAGGGCAGAAAGGGAGAGTCAGGGTAGAAAGGGAGAGTCAGGGCAGAAAGGGAGATTCAGGGTAGAAAGGGAGAGTCAGAGAGGTGAGAAGAGGAAAGAGCCGAACAGAGAACAGGCCACGAATAAGTTTGGAGAATGGAAACTTAATACAACTGACGTTCATGTCCGTAGCAGCTGGGACAAGGAACAGGGTTTTGGGGAAAATACAGCAGGTCTGCATCGTGGTAGCAAGCAAATAACTCTAACATGGAATCTGATTAAGCAAGAAATGAGCGAACTCCAGGTGATATTGAATGCGAGATAACGCTTACAAGCCAGGTGGACTTAAGTGCAAGTGTCAACTAAACCATCGACATAGGTAACGTAATCTGCCGACCGATCACGCACCCGACGTTGTTCAGATTCCAGGTGTAGATGCTGCCGTCGAAGCCGGACGTGACCAGCAGGCTCTTGTGCGGCAGGTACTCGATGTTCTTCACCCAGTTGCTGTGCGCCTCCAGACAGTGCACCTTCTGGCGCAGATTGCGCACGTCCCAGATGGCCACCGTCTTATCGTCCGAGCACGAGGCGAACATGCGACAGTCCAGGAACCTGCGCAACAATCGGAAGGCTATTGAAAAAGCGAGACGACAAACAAGTTCCACAGAAATGATGACGATGATTTGGGGTTTTGAGCTTTCAGACTGCCTGAGATCCTCAGCGCCCACAGTTATAAAGTTAACACAATCTGTAAAAAGCTGGATCGCAAAAGGACGAAGTCGGTCGATTACTCACTTGACGCAGTTGACGTATCCCTGATGCGCTTCCTCCACGGTGTGCACGTTCCGGCGCGTGAGCGTGTCGAACAGAAGCACACAGCGCCGCTCGCAGGCCGCCACCAGCACCTTCCTGCACGCGCCGCAAGCGGGTGGGGAGAACACTGGGTGTTAGTAGGGATTAGGGAAAAGACCACGTTAGCGGTGAGTAACGCTGACCACCGGACCGGTAGTTTAGCGACTTTCGAGTGTAACATGTATGGTCCACGACGCAACAACAGCACGTTCTTTACAGAGGCCACCTGTATAAATAAAGGTACCGTAAGGTGGGGCTATTTGAGACAGTGGGGCTATTTGAGACAGTATTTAAAATCGTTATAAAATAAAAACCGTTTGAAATTTATGCTTAATTTTTGCTCAGGCGAATTTACTGCTCGATTCCACACCTTCCTGAGCAAAAATATCACATAAAAATCAAACGCTCTTCATTTTATAGCGATTTTAAATACCGTCTCAAATAGCCCCACTGTCTCAAATAGCCCCACTTTACGGTAGGACGATTACGTCCGGGACATTTGTTCATATATAATGACAAAAAATCTCCGCAAAGTAAAGAAAAAAAGTAAAACGAACCCATCCTTGGAGAATTCCAAGTTAAAGACGGCTCCACCAGATCCCTTGAAATCTTCATATGTCGCCACAGGTGCCACACTGAGAAGGAAAACTTCGCTGAAGACATAAAACCAGTATAACGCCTTTTGGGGCGACTAACGGAGCGAGCGAGAGGGTAGGCCTTGCACGTGCGAAATTGCGAGGGGGTACCTCCAACTGACTTGTGCACGGCACCCTACTAACCGGTCTCTAGCGATGTACCAAATTTGGGCACAATCGGCCCAGCCGTTCTCGAGATCTGGAAGCGGCACTCTGCACGTGCGCACGTGCAAAATGGGTCCCAACTGACTTGTGCACGGCACCCTACTAACCGGTCCCTAACTGTGTACCAAATTTGAGCGCCATCGGCCGAGCCGTTCTCGAGATCTGGAAACGACCCCTGCACGTGCGCACGTGCAGCAGCACCCCAACTCTGGCACATGGATATGCAGTGCCTAGTGGGTGCCTACCTACATGCCAACTTTCAGCGCAATCGGCCAAGTAGTTACCGAGATATTGCAACAATTACAAAACTGACACCTCTTCGTTTTGCACGTGGCACGTGCTTAAGGGGTCACCCACATGCATCGGGAATAGTCCAATACTTGGTAGAAGGAATGAAGCTACCCTACAAAATTTACCGCATGTAAATCGGTCAAGTGGTTGCTGAGATATAAGCCTCGCAAAAGCGTGACCACGGCCGGCCGGCCGGCCGGCCGGCCGGCCGGCCGCTCATACTCAGAAATTTCCGTTAATCTAAGGAAAGACTACGCTCGCTTCGCTCGCTCCGTAACCAGCTCACCCTACCTAAAAGACGACCATGAGCTGTACCAGTGTGTCAGGCCACGGGTGTCACAAGTCACAACCGAAAAGCTTGGATGTCTGTTTCCAATCGCGAGTCCCTCAAGGTCAAGTTCTGTACTAAGAGTTCGTCCAGTGAAGGTTGGCAAACACTGGGGTATACACTTACAATAAAAAATTAAGTCTTTACCGTATATAGGCAGACACGTTTGCTAGGCCCTAGTGTGATTATTACTAAGCAAGAGCGATGCAGCTAGCCGTGTCCGGAGTTCACGAAAAAAGCAGACATAAATGAATCGCATGATCAGGTTAAGAAAGCATTACCTATATTGCTATGCGAGTGAAACGCATGTAAGCAAAGTCCAATGCAAATATGTTTCCTTATGACATGTGTCTATGTGGATGCATTCCAACATTGGTGACCTGGCGCAAGCGCAGCCATCCCAGTCAGCGTCTGTGTAATTCAATCCGCGTGGGTAGCTAGCGCAGCCGGTCTCACCGCGAGTAGAGCCGGGACGAGATGGCGTCCTGGTCGCCGAGCGTGGGCCTCCAGCCGTACTGCCGGTCGTACGGGTAGAGCGTCACCCGGCCGGTGGCGCGCGGAAACTTGGGCATCCTCCCTCACACGGCCCTCCGCCGGCCTATGGCCAAAGACAGATGTGTTAGGCTCAGAGATGTTGGTGCGCTGTCGTTCGGGGATGATGATTTGTTGTTTGTTTATTGAGAAACGATACAGATGGGAAATGGGACATAGGCAATTGTGGTCAAATGTTCGAATTATTCAGAAATGTCAAATATACCTTCAAAGGGAACATGTATCAAAATGCACAATACATAGTTGTTGAGAAACACAAAGCATCATTTAACACTTGCATCATGTATATTGTATATTGAAGGCAGTCATATATTGTGGCTGTGGGCAAACTTTGAACTCATTGGTGACTGGTAACACCAACTGAACATGAGTGGCAGAACAGAAGCCCCGGAAGGAGTTAGCTTGGTCTTCCATAAAATATGGTGTATGGTGGTTATGCAATATCCACTGTACAACATTATCCTATTGCAACAAAACCATGCCTTGCCCATCCTAAACTGATTTTACCCAAGTCCCAGCCTATCCAAACTTTCTACTACTAAATGCAACTGACATAACCTAACCTGATCTTATGCTTACCTAACCCTACAGGCTAAACTACCTAGTACCTTACAGTGACACCTAGCACCTGCCTCTGGCAGAAGGCTAGGCTTAGAACAGATCAGCTTGGCTTTCAAGCTTGGCTAGAACAGATCAGCTTTGGTCACGTCAGCCTCAGGTGACCACAGCTTGAATTATTCATGGTAGTGGCTGCACTTTTACCCATCATCTGTAGATAAGATATTCAAAAACAAGCAAAATTTCACCTTGGAAAATTATTTGACCTTAGCTTCAGCAATACAGCTGGTAGCAAAAACTTGACCTGGAAAACTTTGCAAAGCAAACCTACTTATTGCTATCACCTAAAACTAAATGTTCCATTATACATTTTGATCTTCTCTGTCTGAATTAGACATTTACAGTCATCTGCAAGCATGGGAACAGAATCTTGTGTATTTTTGTCCATCTTAATTTCATTAAAACTGAATTTTTGGATCATTTTGCTAATATTAGAATCACCAAAAAAAAAAAAAAAAAAAACAAACAAACAATCAGCACATTCCTTGTCAGCAACATTTGGATAGCATGATCATTCAATATAATGAGAGGGATTCTGAATCCCCAGGTATAGATCAAGCAGGATGCCAGACAGGCCCCAACAGCGAAATACTTATGCCAACTATGAACTCGCGTCTACCAGCATGGCATACGCTAGTCATGACCACCAGTGTTTCATAATCTTTGAGCACAGAGCAGGCATCAAAAATCGCAAAAAGTTTGCATACAAATAGTAAATGATATTAAATTTCTTTAACTGCTCATTTAACCTTCGCCCCAGTGGGGGGGGGGCATATGTTACCACCCTGTCGCGTTTTATGCGTGTGAATAAAAAAACCGCGGCGCGTAGCGCCGCGCCGCTTCGGGTAGCTTTTGGTACATCAATTTTGGACAATGTGTGAAATTTTTGACCACAGGTCATGTCAGGTCAGGTTACCAGGTCAAGTTAATCGACCAAGCCTAAAAAAGTTTGCAATCATGTCCAGCCTGCAGTGTTTGTCAGAAAGGTTTTAAACTTGGTGGATTGCATGGTGTTATGGGCGCCTACAATTCGTATATCTCGGATTTTTTATATCCGTGACCTAAGGTCAGGTCAGTGGCGTGACCTTTCCATTACAAGTCAATGGAGAAAATGAAAATGCCTCTAGATCCGTGTGTACGCATAGGAACAGTCCAAATATTTCAGAACATTAGCGTCGCCACGGGGGGGCAAGCGGGGCAGCTTGCCCCCCCCCCCAACCTCGGACCGGGCACCCCCTGAGATCGATACAGATCCGATGAGATTTTGGAGTCGGGAAAAAATGAGGGTACCTTTCTGAGAATGCCTGTGAGGTCAGACTCGGTTGGAGCAAGCAGTTCAAACCAGAGTCCGACTCGCAGTCGCCAAAATCTTCAAGACTCCGAGTCCAGACTCGGAAATGTCAATGCTGTGATTCATTCCATGTTCCTAGTTCGTTCTTTATTACATTGTACAGCTGATTTTCATAAGTTTTGGAGTGCTGACACAATTTTCGTTCAAAGCGTGAAACGAAATCTTCGGGGCCTTTCTCAACTCTCGTCAAATGTCTGCGACAGGCTTAAGTACCGTACAAGTGTCGCAGGGCTCATGAGCTTGCTTTAAACAAAGGCTCCTAAGGAGCTCCACTGAGCCCTAAAGAAGCTTTCAGAGGGCCCAAACCGGCCTCTGAAAGTCCCACTGGTATCCATGTTCTCTGAGGGCCCATACAGGGATCTTTGAGCCTTCGAACATTTCTCAGAACCTTAACCCTATTCCTGGCGGGCTCCGCCGGGACAAGAAACTGGCGGGGGGGGGGGCGATTCGGCCCCCCCTGAGATCTCGAGAACGAAGCAAGATAGCGACAAACGGTAAACGGCATCGGATACGCACGGTCAAGATCTACAATTTTTACAAAGGTCATTTTCAGGTCAGGTCAAAGATGACGTCACAGGGGTCGAAAAAGTCAAAATGGCGGCGCTAGATATGGAGAGAGTTTTTCTCGAATAACTTTCGAATTAGTCAAGATAGGAACAAACCAAGGGCATCATCGTGATCCTCTCGTCAATCCGCATCGAATGATATATATGTTGACCTCGCAAGGTCAAGGTCAAAGGTTGACCTCAGGTCACGTGACCTCGAGGTCATCATGTATATCATTCGATGCGTCTTGACGAGCTGAACACAATGAGACCATCCACGCGTCTGTATCTTGTTCCTGTACGGAGTTATTGGCCAAAAACCTTTGGTGACCTTTGATGACGTCACATGACCTCACAGCTGCCCAACAGCAAAACAGACCTCAAGGTAGTGACGGTTGATCGTTTATGAAGTCATGTATGGTATATGGGGCCATTCCGACCCGTTTTAGTGGTAAAAACAGGGAGTTGATTTTTCCCCCATTGACTTATAATGGGGAGGTCGCGAAACTGACCTGACCTTAGGTCACCGATATCAAAATTCCGAGATATACAAATTGCACATACTGGTACCCTAACTAAAGCCTGAAGAGAAGAAATTGATCGGTCAAAAACTCTAGCTCTGGCGTGATTGCAAACTTTTCTGAGGTAGGGTCACCAAACCGCCTCTGGTGACCTGACCTGAGGTCAGATCAACTCAAAATTTTCAGACATGTTGCGTAGAAGCCTTTTATGAAAAGTCAGAAAATTTGAGCTTCCTAGCTCAACGCGTTTGGGAGAAATAACCAAAAAACCTCAGGGGGGGCTCCTGAGGCCCCCCGCCAGGAATAGGGTTAACCCGGCACCGCCTGGGCTATTTCCGTACCCACATCAGCCTGGGGGGGGGGGGGTCGGATCCGACCCCCCCCCCCTGTTATCTCGAGAACCAATGGTCGTATCGAGCCCCGCGAGGCGGCGTTCGAAAGGTCTCTACGAGACCTTCCCAAAGCACTCTTAAGATTTTAAGATTGAGGTCAACTTTCGGGTCAAGGTCAGGTCAAAGGTCAAATTCAGGGGTTTTGCATGATTAGGCTTACGGACAGCGGAATCGATAGCTGCTGCTCGAAACTCACCACAAATGACCTCAAAGACCTAGTGAAGGTACCATGTGCGTATAGGGGTCATACTAAGTACGGGTCAAGGTCAGGTCAGGTCACGAAAGGTCACGGTTTTCACTTTCTGCTACATGGGCGTGCGACACATGTTTTATGGCTTATTTTTCACGCCAAATCCGATGGTAATGGTTATATGTGACCCCAAGTCACTGTGCTGGTGATAAGTGTGCATTGAAAGCATAAAAAATCGTTTATACTAAACGAGGGCTGAGAAAAAAGGTCAATTTTTCAACTTTTTATTTTTGACATAAAAATGCACTTTTCTAGACGAGCTTTGTCCCAGGAATCTAGTGGTGCCATTTGTTTTCACATGCGATGTTCAGAAGTGCCTCTAATTCGCTAAAATGCTTATGACGTCACCATGCCCTATGCATGTTGGAGCTATTTTTTACAATTTGGGGGTCAAAAATCAAGATAGAAAGTTGAAATTTGGGACATCTAATGTTCTAATAGAGCTCTATAACATATATTCCGGTTTTTTGGAAATTCTCAAAATTTTGGATTTTATTAGCTGTTTTCCAAAAAATATAGTTTTTTGAATTTTTAGGGGTGAAAAACGCATTTTATTGAAAATCCGAGATAGCCATTTTAAAGAACTCGTTGAGCTGCGTCTTTTCATGTCCTTAATTTGCAATTTGCTCAAAACCTCGATTTTTGGCGATTTTTTAAACATTTACCATTTTTTGACTGAAAACGCCATGTAGTTACATCACTAAAATCGATATATCTCAAAAAAGTTTGAAAATTTTTTCTTAAAAATTGCACAGGAGACGTCAAATTGATGGGGGAGAAGGTATGCGAAGTTTCAAGTTGATAGCGCAAGCGGTTCATGAGTTATTCAAGAAAAACGGAGAGGGGGGGGGTCGGATCCGACCCCCCCTCAGGCGGTCGCGGGTTAACTGGCCTCTGTTAGTTCAGCCAAACTTTTGAGGCGACATACTTTGCTAACCCCAAGCCGGCATCTGAGGGGTCACAGCTCACGTGTCCCTCTGAGGTCCGCAACACATGTTTATTATGTCCCTACGTAGGGTTCTTAGGGATTCGACACAGACCCCGAGGGTTCACACTGTTATCCGAGGGCTCCAGGGCCAGGCTCACCCGGGGCCTAGTCTCTTAGCGCCCGCCGCCCACACTGGCTTCGGAGGGCCCCACCTTGGGCTCGGAAAGCCCTAAAGCACCACGTACACGTAAATATTTGAGGTGACCCACGCCGATCTCCGGGATCCTAAGCATGCTTCTAAGAGTCGGCACTGGCCCTGAGTGGCCTGAAATGGCCTGGAAGTCCCAAACCTATCTCTAAGGGATCCCTTGCCGCTATGCCGTGCGTAACTTTTGGTTCCGTTTAATAGCTTTTGTTCGCGTTTGCAGCGCTTCCCTTCACACGAAAAACGAGAAACTTTTGTTCACACTCGAGTAGACAAAACACTTCCTCTCACTGGAGCAAAGATGAATTACTTCCGATTCACACTTCCGACATTCACTCTCCGCCGAATGCCCAACTTAGCTACGATCAGCGGCTGGGATAAGTCCTATGCATTTCACGTAAAACCTCTGCATGCATGCGTGAATGGAGGTTTTAGCAGGGTGATCCGATTAAATTGATCGTTTTTCACCTTTTTCTGGGTAATGATCATGAGCGTCGAGCCTATGCACAGGGGCCCTCTGCAGTGTGTCGGCAATCGCAGCCACTATATACTATAATTCTACCAGTCGTTTTTGTCATGAAATTTCAAAATTTTGAATTTTTCTGTAAAAAAATTACATGTCATAGCTAGAAGGAAACCTTTGTCACCATCGGATTCCTCGCACCATTGCGCGTCGAATGATATGTAAAACGAGTGAGTAAAGACTGGGGAAAGGCAAGTTTTAACACAAAAGTTGATTTTGCCCCCCCCCCCCCCCCAACCGAAAATCTCTGGCGACGCTTATGTTTCAGAATCACAATGATTTGGACCATCCGTGATGACCTTGGTGTCATTTTTGCTGATAGCCTCTAGAAAGGTCATCCGAGGTCATTTGAGGCTACAAACATATTTTTGCCAACAACTCGCGATTGGAAAGAGATAGGACGCTGGGGATGGTCTCATTGTGTTTGTCTTGTTGAGACGCATCGACTGATATGCAACATGACCTTTTCCGGTCAGGTCATGACCTTGACCTGAGGTCAAATTTTCAAGTTGACCTTTCAAGGTCAAATTATAGTTCATTCGACGCGTCTCGGCGAGAGGAACACGATTCTGGCAACAGAAATGTCGTGGCTTTTTGTAGTCGAAAGTTACTGTCGAAAAACACTTAGTAAAAACAGCTATTTTTGGAGTTTTTGCCCTCTGGAGGCTAAACCGTTGACCTGAAGTCAATTTTGATGATGACCTTATCAAAAGAAGAGTTCAAAAGCTATCGATTGTTGTTCCATGCGTTTTTCTAGCTACCATAGTTCCTGAGATAACGGCATGTTTTCTGAAAAATATAATGACAATTGGCAAATTTTGACCTTTGATGACCTCTGGTGACCCCAATATTGCTCTAAGATGAAAAATGACTGAAATACTTTCAAACGTACGCATTGAGAGCTGGGGCATTCCACGATAGATCGTACCACTTTTTTCCAATTTGACACCCTCATCTCTCGGAATTTGACGAGAATTGGTCTTAGGGGTAATCAGGGGCTCTGAATCCACCTGTAACAATTTCAGGCTTATCAGATAAGTATTTTTTTAGTTATGGTGTATAACATTTTTTGGATCTTGCTTTGCAGCGCTAAGTTTGGCGGGCTGTAACTCTAAGACGGATTATTCAAATGCCAAATGTTATACAACATTGAACTTGCCATGAAACAGAGATTAATATGTATTTTTGAAATGTCGAAAAATACGCTATTTTTGATATATGACATATTAAGTTTTCTTTCATTTGTGTTTTTTGGACTTTGGGACCAAATTTTTTTGAATTTTTATTTCTTTAAAAAAAATATTTGGCTCATTGTTAACAAATATGCAAAAAATTAGGAAGGTGTTCTTTCTATAAATGTATTTATTTTACGTCACGATAACGGTTTCGAATAGTGATTCCGGGAGAGGAGCTTACAAATGGCGTGGTAAAGCTGCCTAGTGACATCACGGGTTACTGAAATTTCAATTGAAGTCTGAGTCATCTGAAAAAAGTGAAAAGAAGGTTCATCCAACCCTCTTTCCTATAAGCGCGAGGGTGAAAAAGGCTGTTTGGTTCTGACATTGTTTTGGACGCCAACAACCATAGCTGTCCGAGATGAAAGCTACAGGATGCATACATGGTGTCCTCCAGAGGTCTCACAACTTGTATATCTGGGAATTTTTAAGGTTACGTGAGGTCAGGTCGGTCACGTGACATCACTGTTATAAGTCAATGGGGAAATATAAAAACTGTTATCTTGGCGCCGAGAATGATCTAAAACTATCCCACGTACATGGTATCGTGATTTCATGCACTTCTTGCAAAGTCCAATGCTTTTCTTTTGCATTGGTAACCTTGCGTGACGTCATTTATGACGTCGCTAGGGTCGTACGAGTTTTTCGTCAATTACTCCCGATCAAATGGAGCTAGAGAGTCAGGAAAGCCACCAATGGACTCGGGAAGACCTTCCGAATCGAATGATATGCCATATGATACCCTTTGCCCAGCTTCGTGACCTGAGGGGCTCTGACTTGACCTTGATCCGAGGTCAACTACTTAAGTTGACCTCACCCTAGCAAAAAGTATACCATTCGATGCACCTGAGCTAGGCGAACACAATGATGCCAAAATCGCGGCTCTGCGGCCATTTTTTTGCGAAGTTATTTACTAAAAACCGAACCCGTAACTTCAGTAACTTGACCTGACCTCAGACGCTACCGGTTAAATTGAGACCTTAAAATCGGGTACCAATCGCTGTGACTTGTTGCGGCACACACGCTCGTTTTTTCCGCGAGGCTCTAGCTCTATTAGAAGCGAAACGGCGTGCTGGGGTCGTATCAACCCCACCGAAACCCATTTTGTTTGCGGGAAAATGAGGATTTTATAGAAAGAACACCTTTCTAATTTTTTGCATGTCGATTTGCAATGACATGAAGTTTATTTTGAAAAAAATAAAAATTTGAAAAATTTTGGTCCCAAAGGTCATTAGAGGCAAATGAAAAAAGATTTAGGTTTTTGCTCAACAATGAAAATTTTTCTTTGGAATTTTTAAATGGTAATATTAATTTTTGATTCATCGCAAGCTTAGTGTTGTTTACTGTTTGTTGGTAGCTTAACCCATTCTTGAGTTATAGGCCATCAAACTCACCGTTATAAACTGAAGTTAAAAGAATGTAATGCAATATAACTCAAAAAGTTTTGATCTGAGAAGCCTGATATTTTTCCAGGCGTCTTTGGGGCCTATGATTACCCCTAGGACGGATTTTCATTAAAATCTGAGAGATGAGGGTGACGGGCCTGGTACGATCTATCGTGGAATGCCCCAGCTATCGACTGCTTTTTACCGCGTCTTTCTAGCCCTCTTAGTTTTTTAGTTAGAGGTGGGTGGTAACATATGCCCCCCCCCCACTAGGGCGAAGTTGGCAGAGACCGCAATTGGGGCGCGGGTTAAGTTAAAAGCAATTTATGCCAAAACTAGGATCAATATGATGAACAGCAAAACCAAAAGTTAAAATAGGCAACAGCACCATAAAGCTTAAGCTACACTAGCAGTGGTCGTCCAGGAAATTATGTGCGTGATCTGCAGATCCGTGATTGCGAGACTCCCTTGACATCGCTTTCTGCGAGTTTCCAGAATTTCCGTGAGTTATTATAAGCTGACGTAATAATAACAACTAATAAATGGTTTCGCAACAAACGCTTTAATTTGCTACCTTCAATACTATTTTATTGATAAATATTTTATTTTGTTAATAAAACATCAAAAACACAAAAAAAAATAAAGAAACAATTATTAATTACGTCACTTGGATTCATACGGTGCGCCACCAAGTGCGCAGTGCGCCAACAACTGTCTCATATCACTCAAACTCGCAGATTCTGCAAAAAAGTTCGTAGCTTTGAACTTTACATTGGTACGGAACATCCTGACCGTCCTGACTATCCGGCATTTCCTGTACTGAACGTCCGGGATTTCCTTGACTGAATCTGCGTGACCCCAGTGTAGCTGACCCTGTGTATTTCCTATCAGCTGAACTTGACCTGCGTACCGATTTTCTGCAAAACCCGCAAACACGCAGATCACGGACGTAGGATCCCGCATAGTGTAGCTAGACCTTAACCCTTGTGGGCTGCGAATGCGATAGGTAATCCAATCTCACCTTACAACATTGCCCTGTCACTTATATGCTATTAGAATAACAACTACAAATCCTCATCTCGAAAGGCAAGACACGCCATGCTGCATTTCAATATGTTTAAAGGCCTTCTTTTTCTTCGACCCAACTTTGGAAAATGGTTGGTTGGTTGGTTTGGGTTAAGCACCACATCCAGTGGACCAAGGTGCTAACCGGAACTCTCACGCTGTTCCAAGCGGTCAGGTAGCGGCAATGCCACGTGCATCGCCCGGGAAACTTTGGAAAATGAAAAGTCAGAAATACACAGCCCAACTTTGAAATGCAACTGCAGCGCCGCCGCGCGTCAAAATGGGAGCGCGTCGTTAATGTAACAGAGCGCCAAGTTATAAAACATTCCAGATCAGCTGAATCGATTTGGTAGCCATACTCTTATGAACAGCTACCATATTTCTTTCTCACCATGTAAAGTAATCTTGGTTTCTGCCTTCTATGTTTCTGCCCCATTGTAAAACCAATGTAAAACAATGGAAATTTGAATGGAAATGATAGGTATACACTGGGAAAACGGGGATCAGTCATGTTGTCAGGAATGAGGGAGGAGGGGGGGGGGGGCCTAAAAATATATAAATTTATACATCGCACACTGGGTGGATCGCCAGTTCTAGCACGACATGGGTAAAAACTAAAAAATCGAACTTTGTTGAAGAGCAATGAAACGTACCTCTATACCATTTTGTTCAAAAATGATCATACTACATTGCTGTGGTCTTTATTTCCCAACACAACTACTATTTCATGGCGAAAACTCAGCTTAACCCTCGCCCTGGCAGGGGGAGGGTTATATACCAAATATACTTACCTACCTACCGTAAAAACGGCAGTGCGCAGCGCCGCCAAATTTGGTACAGCCTATGGCGCAACCTTTTTACATATGACCTGAAAATTTCAGGTCCGGGTGACCTTAAGTCAGGTCAACAGGTAAAAAAAAAAACGGTACAAGGTCATGGTCAAATCTCAATTATTTATGCACGTGTCCAACTCACAGTTTTGGACTGAATTCCTTCAAACTTTCAGGATGTGCTAAGTTCACCGAGTTGTAAGTATAACATATAGTTCGTTTTTCATGACACTGACCTGAGGTCAATTAGAGGTAATTACGTCGTAATGGGAAAATATTCAAATCGGAAAATACTGGAGATATCCGCTTCGTTCTATCACTTTTGTGGTTTGAAACAACTGTACTTAACACTCGCACCGACGGGGGTCTGCGCCAACTTAGCACCGACGGGGGGGGGGGCGGATGACCACCCCCCCCCCCCCTGAGATCTCGAGAACGAGGCAAGATAGCGACAAGCGGTAAACGGCATAGGATACGCACGGTCAAGTCAAGATCTACAATTTTTACACAGGTCATTTTCAGGTCAGGTCAAAGATGACGTCACAGGGGTTGAAAAAGTCAAAATGGCGGCGCTAGATATGGAGAGAGTTTTTCTCGAATAACTTTCGAACTAGTCAAGATAGGAACAAACTAAGGGCATCATCGTGATCCTCTCGTCAATCCGCATCGAATGATATATATATATATATATATATATATATATATATATATATATATATATATATATATATATATATATATATATATATATATATATGTTGACCTCGAAAGGTCAAGGTCAAAGGTTGACCTCAGGTCACGTGAACTCGAGGTCATCATGTATATCATTTGATGTGTCTTGACGAGCTGAACACAATGAGACCATCCACGTGGCTGTATCTTGTTCCTTTACGGAGTTATTGGCCAAAAACCTTTGGTGACCTCTGATGACGTCACATGACCTTACAGATACCCAACAGCAAAACAGACCTCAAGGTAGTGAAGGTTGATCGTATATGAAGTCATGTATGGTATATAGGGCCATTCCGACCCGTTTTAGTGGCAAAAACAGGGAGTTGATTCCCCCCCCCCCCATTGACTTATAATGGGGAGGTCGCGAAATTGACCTGACCTTAGGTCACCGATATCAAAATTCCGAGATTTACAAATTGTAGCCACTAATGACCTAATAACATCCTGCGACTTTCAAAGGCCTCCGACATATACTGTAGCTCTGGCACGGTGACAAAGTTGCAAAAAAGTGACTTGAGGTTGGGTCATTCAAAGTGACCTGGTGACCTGACCTTAACCCGCGCCCCGTAGGGCTATCGGCGGACCCTACCGCCCGTAGGGGAGGGGCCGTTTCGGCCCCTCCTAAGATCTCGGAAATTTACCGGCCGATTTTCAAAATTCAAACTGTGTTCGATAGCCCCACCCGGGAACTACCTTGTGACCAAATTTCATTGACCTACGTCAAACCGATGACGACACAGGTCAGGTCAAAGGTCGGATTTTCACCGTTCACAGGCATTTCAAGAAATGTGTTGTGAAATCGAGTAAATTGGTAATTTATTGAAAACCATCGATGGTACATTGTTTGTCAAACACATACCTACTTTGCTATCTGAGGTCACTGATACCAGGTCAGGTCACAGCGAGGTCAGGTCACCGGGGGTCACAATATGAAAGTGTCGTGTGATACATGTTTTATGGTCCATTTTACATGACAAATGCGATTATGTGGGTTAGGCAGCCTTTGGGGCCAGCCTAGGTCACGTTTTGGTGAAGGTCAGGTCAAGGTCAGGTCAAATTAAGTCAAATTTCAAAGTTGATATTTTTGCATAAAATTGGTATTGATTCGATGCAGCTTGTCACGGGGAGTGTAATGGTGGTCTTTATTTTGCTCTACGATGTCTAGAATTGCCAAAAATTGAGTTTGAAAATTTGACGTCATCATTTTTGAACAGTTTTTTTTTTCGCTATAACTTGGCCAAAAAACGAGGTATTGATCGGAAATTTGGTATGTAGATAGAGGACGGTAGGTTCTATCACAAATATGCCGTTTTTTCCGGAACTCAAAAAACTTTTTGGATTTTTTGGCAAATGTATCCAAAAAATGCTTTTTTGATTTTTGGGGGTCAAAACTCAAAAGTTTCAAAAATCCGAGATAGCAGTTTTGTAGCCCTGTCAATTCTACACCTTTTATGTTTTGATCATTTTTCTGTATCTTCAAAGCTGTAGGCCTGACAGGTCTTCTCGCGAAGGTCTTTTTTCGGTCGAAAATGGCAGAACATGACGTCATTCTGACCTCATTTGTGGCCAACCTATCATAGCCTATGATTAAATTTTTGATCACAATTTGTAAAATTGATGCCCGGAAGGGTCCTGAAAGTTTGGTGGCGATATCTCCAGCCGTTCAGGAGATATCGACGGAAAAGGACAGGGAGGGGCCGGTTCGGCCACCCCCCCCCCCCTACGGGGCGCGGGTTTTGAGGTGTGAAGTTCAGACTTGCACACCATGTGTAAAATTGATGAGGGAATAGTCGCACCAAATTTCGCGGCGCTACGCGCCGCGGTTTTCCCGCTATTCGCGAAAAACCTCAGGGGGGCGGATATCCGCCCCCCGTCGGTGCGCGTGTTAACAGCATGTCACTTGGTGCTTCTTGATTTGGTGTAGGTACTTATCCATGGGTCAGGTTAACCCGGCAGGCGGTGGGCCTCCCGGCCACCTTCCGCGCGGTGGGGGGGGGGGGAGAGGTGGACATTTTTGCCCCCCCCTGTATCTCCGAAACTACTAAACGGGTCCAGAAAATACAAACGGCGTTCGATAGCCCTGTCAAATTGGTCCAGGGAAACCAAATTTCATTGACGTTGGGGTCACCGATGACGTCACAGTTCAGGTCAAAGATGAAATGTTTCACCGTTCACGGGTCTTCTAGGGAAAGCGCTATAACACTGAGTAAAACGCATTTTGTCGAAAGTTAGCGATAGGGCGTCAGTTGTCTAGTACCTACATATGCTGCTATTAGAGGTCACTGGTCATACCAGGTCAGGTCACAGGTCAGGTCACCAAGGGTCACCACATATGAACCCAACTTTACTAAGGTTGTGAGATGCATGTTTTATGGTCAATTTTTCATTTCCAACTCAATGGTGTTGGTTATAGGACCATCAGATACGGTTAAGGTCACTTTCTGGTGGAGGTCAGGTCAAGGTCAGGTCGAAAAAGGTCAAATTTCAAAGTTGATAGTTTTGCATAAAATTGGCATTGATTCGATGCAGCTCGAAATGGGCGGTCTAATGGTGGTCCTTGTTTTGCGCTACGAGGTCTAGAATTGCTAAAAATTGAGTTTGAAATTTTTTTGATTTTTTTTCGCTATAACTTGGCCAAAAAAGAGATATCGATCTCAAATTTGGTATGTAGATAGAAGGCGGTAGGGACTATCACAAATGTTCCGTTTTTTTTTAAATAAAAAAACGTATATTTTTTGGCTATTATATTCAAAAAATCTATTTTTTTCATTTTTTTGGTCAAAATCCAAAGTTTTCAAAAATCCGAGAAGACAGTTTTGTAGCCCTTTTAATTTTACACCTTTTATGTCGAAATATTTTTCTGTATCTCTAAAAGTCTAAAGCTGTAGGCCTGACAGCTCTTCCCGCAAAACCTTTTTTGGGTCAAAAATGGCAGAAATGACGTCACTCTGACGTCATTAGCAACCAACCTATCAAAGCGTTTGGAAACATTTTTGGTCATAATGTGCAATAGCTATTCACGGGAGGGTACTGAAAGTTTGGTGACGATCGGCGCAGCGGTTCTGGAGATATATCGAAAAAACTAAGGGGGGGGGGGGCAAAAAATGCCCCCCACCGCCTGGAAGGCTAAATGAGGTGAACTCAAACTGAGATCAAATGACGTTTGTGCCAATAACTTTTCACATAATAAAGATATTTAAAGCCTTTCAAAATGGCATCATTCTGTTCCTCTTGAAGAGCTGACTCGAATGATATGCATCATTAACCCTCGGCGGCCGAAAGGGGGGGCCGCCCCCATAGGTTTTTTTTTCGCGATAGCTCCAAACACGCTGGCGATAGAAAGCTGAAACTTGGCATACCTGACCTCTGATTCAAGCCGAAACTTTTTTGACACCAACCGCATTTTCGGGTCAGGCCAGGTCACTGACCTATGACGTCATAAGTGAACCTCTGCACGGTCTTCAGATGTCGCAACTTCGCAACGCCCTCACTGCCAGAGGAGCTTTCACAGGGAAATGAAACTTGCAGGATCTAGTATCCATTATGAGTCTCATAACTCGTTTATCTCGGATTTTTCCTAAAGGTCATATGAGGTCAGGTCATTTTCGTGACATTACCTATGGGGGGAAAATGAAAACTGCTATTCTGGCACCGGGAACGATCTCCAACTATCTCAAGCACACAGAATCGTTATTTGATGCACTCCTTGCAAGATAAGATGCGTCACTTTTGCAATGTTGACCTTGCGTG